ATACGGCGGAGGGAACAATCAGGGTGAGTACAGCAGCTCACGGTGGAGAGAGGGAAGTCGTTCTCGCAGCTCTGTTTTTAAGGCGGAACGGGCTTCCCCCCATGAGGTACCCGCTCAACCTCCGCATTGAGATGACACTGACCGACTGGCAGGAACCATAGTGGACACCATTCATATTGCTCCAAGTTACACGGACGCACTCGAGAGGTCGACACCATCATTTGATCTAGGCCGTCCGTGCGATACTTACTTCCAGCCCAGCTTACTCTTTGGGAATACAGTAGTTCCGTTGCTCGTCGTTCATGAACGCCGAACGGATTGAATGGAATGATAGAGCTTACGAGGATTTCTTCCCATGGTGCGGCTCCGCCCGTCTAAAGCATTTTGCACACCACGCAACATCTCATCGATCGTCATTCAAGCGTGGCAACAGTACATATGTATTCTCCATATGCGTCTTTCTCCGCGTCTGTGATTGTTTGACCCTTCCAGGATGATTGTCATCTAGGATTTGTTAGATCATACTGATTGTCCATCTCAATTTTCTTCCATACAGGGTGTTACGAGTATGAAGAAAGAAGAACGAGAAGGAAGGCAAGGAAGAAAGAATAGCGAAATAACACGGGAACGCTTTGTTCGCAACTTTGTTCAGACGACTTATATATGACGCAACGTACAAAAAGACCTACTCTTTGTGCGGCATACTTTGATATATCATTGTTGCATAAACACAGACTACTCCGTTCATGCAGATATATTTTTATTACAAATAAAATCGTTGAGTCTTCGGATGTCACAACGCATGCACATATACATTATTTTGATGGTCTATGTAAGATTAAGTCCTATAAGAAAATAAAATGGAGTAAAAGAAAGGAAGAACAAGGGATGTTCAAATATTCAAATGCTACAAGAGCATCGCGAGAATACTCAACCCCATCGCACACGAGATGGTCCATATATGCGTTCTGGAAGCCGGTGATGAAGCAGCGCTTGTTGATGACAAGACCATGATGTCAGAATGACTAGCCTGTGGAACGCCGTCAGGTCCTGTTGTCGTCGCTACGTACGTCCCGGATGGAGCAGCTTGCGTGATTGCTTGATTCCAATATTCGAATTAGCATATATATTCCAAGAATATAACACGTATAATGCACCAGGGAAGACGCCTCCATCGGCGACTGCAATCCGCGTTGCCTGCCGCAGCTGATCTGCTGCATTCGCCGGAACAGTTGACAATAGCCCGATTCGCGGTGGATCTTGTGATGGGTGGGTGAGGTTTCCATAGTAATATGCAATGAGTGCACTTGAGGGGGAAAATACAAATGAGTACTGCACCGGCAGCGAAAACCAAATCACATACGATTTGAGAAAGGGATCCCCGAGGCTCCAGCTGTATAGGAATCCTCCGTTGCCAGGCGGATCGGTGACGGCCAGAGCGGCCGTACAGCGTTCAGGACCCGGCGAATCGGCCGGAAGAGGCTGGGCAAAATCGCGAGGGTCCACCGGAAAGAGCACACTGCCGATCTGGAAGGTCAAATTGTGGGCTTCGCCGCAGTCAAACGCATAGTCGGGGCCGCCAAAGCGTTGGATAATATGATTTACAATGTCTCGAGGGCCACGGATCAGCGAATTGCCCTAAGTAATGAATCCCGAGATGACAACAAGCAGACTCGGCATACGGATTACGTACTGTGTCGACGAGGCCTGAGATAGATATGGCAGGCGAAACAAGAGCAGAGCGCGGAAGTTTGAGGCCATCGAAAAAGACCTCATCTATCGCAATCTCCCAAACCAGAGGGTATACCTAGCACTGTCATCAAACAATTGTGCGCATATACGCGCATATACTCACTTCATTTGGAGCCTCGGGGGAGGGAGGCAGTCCTCCTTCATCAACGCTGTACGCACGAACGGGAACCCATGTCAATTGGTTGTCCTGAATTCCTTCAGGCAGTCCACCAAGTGACAAAGAGCCTACATCTCCGCCGATCTGCAGAGTGTCGCGCTGTAGAGTAGTGGCGACAAGCGGGCGTTCCAGCGCCTGCTGCATAATTAGCCGAGAGAAAAGGGGTCCGTAAGCAGCGAAAGAAGATAGAACGCTTGCGGAAGAGAATAGAGGAGATTGATTAGACCGGCGCCTCTTACGCGAGGAGTGTGTGGTTGATAGGAAGTCAAAGGAGGGGAAGGGTGGCTGGCCAATCGAGGCGGCAGTAATGTTGGTAGGAAAAGGAGCCAGTGGGGATCGTTTGGAGACCGGGGAACTAGCTGAGGCGAGCTGGGCTTGCAGTAGTTGACGCCAGATGACGCTGAGGTAACAACAATGCTTAGAACGAGAATTACATAGACAAGGAATAGGGACTAGAAGATATCTCAAGTCGAAAGAATACCATTATGGGCATAAGCTCTTCCAGCGAAACGCATGAACTACGGCCACACAAGCGACTAACCTGATAGGAGGAAATCCAAGCCCCAGAATTCCCGCGGAATTAGTCTGAAATATGGTCGAATTGGTGTCGTTGATTGCCGCAAATACTTGCCCAGATTGTGATAGATTAGCAATGCCCACACTTTCCAGACCAATAGGCCCCGACGCGTGCGTGCCAGTGCGCGAGTCACCATAGAACAAGCGAACGTCGAGACCGGTAGACTGCAGCTGCTCGGAAGAGTACAAGGCAATGCCAGCGTCGAGACAATCCCCAGCACACGAGTCAGACGCAAGCCAAAGATCAGATGAACCAGTATCGAGAACTAACGGGGCGCGTGTGTTCCCAATCTCCACCAGAACATTGTACGTACTACAGGCAGACAAGCAAGTTAGATCTAATAGCATCATCTCAATCTGTATATTTACATATCCAGATAGTCACCCAGGCCTATGGCAGTATATTGCCCATTCCGCTTCTCTAGAGCCCGCGAACTTGTGCGGTATAGCGGTAAGTGAGTTGTTGCCAGTGAAAGTGGCGCCAGAAACAATATCAGAATGGTCACAAGCATCATGATTTGGAATAGCCTTGTTCTATGTACGGATAAGTTGACCAGCAGCGCACAAATACAACATGATGCGGGGGGTGGGGGGGGGGTAGGAAACGAACTAGAAGAGAAGCTGCGGCCTCGAAGTGTTTCCATATACGATCACGGGGTCGAAGCGTGTCACATGCATCATTCAGGCATTCAATGTCCAATATTCAGGCTCCACTTTTACACGCACTAACAAAGCCCTCACAGACGAATCCACCCATTTGTATATAGTACATAGCTGTGATTGTAAATGTAGTACTATCCGTTATACAATTAACAGTGAGCGGACGAGGTTCAACCGAACTCCTCGAGAACGACAACAGACCCGGACCAACGTCTAACTACATGACAGACGCGGAAGCATGTAACCATAAGCAATATGATAAATAGAGCGTGAGGTCCAAGTACAATGCGAACAGCAGTGTATAATCCATGTGATGTCCAAGCCAGGCTACATGGCTTCAAATGCAAAATCAGCGGGCGCAGGCTCCTCTGAAGGACGTAATGTCTCATCCTCGTCTAATGGGTGGGTATTAGACGCGGGAACAACGGAAGCAGCCCCGTGCCATGGGTTAGGAAGCGGTTGATGCGAAGGTTCCTGCCACTCGCCCGAAGGACCGCGTACGTGCATCTCATAGGACTCTGCATGCGCTTCGTCTTGGATATTCTGCTGCGGCGGCAGTGCTTGTGACTGGGCGGAGACAGGTTCGGTGGAGACAGATGTCATTGGTGGCTGATTCTGCATGCGGTAGGCTGATCTCGTCAGAGGAGGGGTAGGTGAGGGTGCTGGTATGTCTGAGGCGGAGTAGTATGAATGTCGCACATCATCGGGAGAAGGGTGGTTTGGTCCCGAAGCTGTCAGGGTAGACAAATCACGCCGCCGTACTTCATAGGACGGTTCGATGAACAACGAATTTCCTGTTGTCGTCGGCGGGGATAAGCGATCTGCACTCTCCTCGCGTCCAACCGGCTCCATCACAACTTGAACGCTGGAGGCTTCAGATTCGGAGCGGCAATGAGGCTGATGGAACATTGGCGTCTTCTCCAGATCAAGTTTAGTCTGCTTTTTCTCCCGTCTGTGCTGTATTCCTAAGCGATCTTTGAGGTCGCCCAGGACCCACATCTCGCGGACGATGTCCTTGTCGAGGGGCATATAAGTACTTTTGAGGAATTTCACTAAGAACCGTGGGCCTGCGAGATGAATCAGCTGTGTAATTGAGACTTGGAGTTGCGATCGAAATTTACTCAATGCTATAACAACAGATATCAGCACGGTGGCCCAGAAGGAAACCTCACCGAACAGAATGATCACTTCATCATTAAAGTTCGGTGTCGTGAAGAAGGAATAGATAGTGATCCACAACATCATGACAACAGAAGACCCAATCACTATGATCCAAGTGATGATGGTCCAACTGTGTGGAAGAGTTTCAGTATCTTAATCCAACGTATTCGACAAACTATACGCACTAGCGTGTGTTGAGGCCTACGTAGGTGTTTGCAGCGAAGATCGCTGCAACTGCAACTGTAGTTCCAAAGTCAGATAGCGAATCTATCGCCCTCCCGTTCCACGACGCCGCTACACCTAATGTCCAGACGAAATATGGGATGTAGAAGATCACGATGGATTGGTATAACCCGTCTAGCATGTAAAGCCAGAACTTCAAGCGAGTATATTCGAGTCCACGAATTCCCCGAATGTAAAGCTGGGGAAATGCCAATGCAGCCTTTGCGTTGATATCTTGATCAAATGCTGTGGGAAAGCAATGAGGGATGCAGAACCGGAAGGACAGAAAGTTCAACTGACCTCCAAGGGCTATAACCGGCAATGATGTGAAGACCACATTACAGAGGAGGATAAAGGTGTACTGATACAAGTATGTAGCATCGAAGCTGCGATACACTCGTAAGCGACGCAGTGACATAACACGTGGCTCAACTTTTACCTATTATAGATCATAAACCAGAAGTTGGCGAATGTCCAGACAACGTTCTAGCAGTCTGATGAGCAATAGCGCATAAGAGATTGCCGAAGAAAAAGTTTACCTTGTAGAAGAAGTTACTGTGCATATCAGCCACTCTCTGATATGACCAACGACCGTGCACAATCAACAACTTTGTCAAGTAGCGGAATTGACCGAAAGCATAATCAGCGGACATTGCAGCTTGTGATCCTTCATGTCCCAATAGACCACAGCCGATGTTTGCTTCCTGTATCATAGCCACATCATTCGCCCCATCTCCAATTGCGAGAGTCATGGCATTCCGGCCTTCCTTAACCTAGACACCGGTGAGCGTTTATTTAAAGCGCAGACCAGGGATAACAAATACCAATTTCACAACGAGAGCCTTCTGTGCTGGAGAAACCCGGCAACAGACTACTGTCTCGCATTGAGTCGCCAGGTTAAGAAAGAGGGGCTTCAGCTCAGGAGAAAGGGCATGACGCAAAGTATCACCGTCGATTACGACAGCGAACGCTGCTTGGGCACCAGAGACAAAACCACGCCTCTTCGGGTCAAATGAGATTGGACCCAAGGTGGACGCGATTTTGTTCAGGCCACCCTCAATCTGGGTCTGAGCAGAAGCAATCGTTTCGGCAGATAGAATCATGACGTCCATGTCATCCTTAAGCAAGTTGCAGCTGAAACCTAGGGAGGATCTCAGTGAGAGATCCGAGTTTACGATATTCTATACATACCGATCTCAATCGCAGTCTGAATCTTATCGCCTATATGGTGGATCTCAGCAGTTAGTCACGAACAGACAGCATATTACGTACCAGTCAAAATCCAAAGCTTGATGCCGGCTTTATGTAGAGTTTCAATAGCGTCCGGGACACCCTCCTGTAGTTTGTCTTCCAGAGCGGTAGCTCCCAAAATGGTCAAGGAATGCTCAATTTGGTCGTTGGCCTGTTCGATAGCTGCATCACGTTCATCCACAGAACTGGTAGCTTCGTCATACAGCTTCTGCCAGTCCGCATATTCCTGTTCATCCAAATACCGGTAGGCGATACAGAGTGTGCGCAAGCCACCATTCGCAAAAAGCTCCATATCCTGCGATGTCTTTTCCTTGAGCTGTGGATCATGGTCGGGGGCAAGTCGTTGATAAACAACGCTGTCGGCGCCTTTGCAGTACAAAACGAGCTGGCCTTGTGGGTTACGCACGATGACACTCATGCGCTTTCGAGTACTATCGAACTCGAGAGACTGCAATAGAGTGTACCTCTCTGGCTGGCCCATCACCTCGATGTCAATGCCTTCGCGCGACTTCTGAACAAATGGAAACCCAACATCGCGAGCGGCAGCAACCAGTGCAGCTTCATCGGGGGATTCTGCCTTGTACTCCAAGTGATAAGGCTGCTCCTGGGGTTCGGGCCGATCTGACAAGACACTATGGCAGACAGCAAGTGCGCGAAAAAACGCAATCAAATGGCCTCGTTGTTCAGAGGCCTTGTTCGCCAGGTCGTCTGCCAGTTTGGGCGAAACTAGTGTCAACTTTTCAGGCTGAATATAGCGGTTCTTGAACGCTCGCGACAATTTCGTTAACATGTTCTCCTTTAGGAAACGCAGCTCCCGATCTTGCTCCGCTGGATCCATGATTTCGGTCTTACCTTCCCGTTTCGCGGCCCCTCGCTGTGCCTCAGTGACACCTTCTCCGTAAGTCACCCCACGCACAGAGCACTTCTGGAACTCCATGACGTTCTGAGTGAGGGTGCCTGTTTTGTCCGAAAAGATATACTCAATCTGTCCAAGGTCATCGGAGATGTTCCACGTCTTGGGAACGCATGGCGCATTGAGGGGCTTGTAGAACATATCCACGTCCTGAGATATGAAGAATGCTTGGATCGTTTTGACAATCTCAATGGAGATATACAACGAGATCGGCACGATGTTCTGGAAGGCGATCAAACACGAGCTAAGCACAATATCAGCATCAATCACGTTGGAGGGCGCAATTTAGACTTACACAAACGTAACCACCGCATTGACGACCGGTGACGATGAGGGGTTTGAATCTATTTCGAAATAGTCTGCACTTGTCCCACTTTTGATATCATACAATCCGTTAGCGATGGCGGAAATCAGACACATTGCTCCAAGGAAGACGAAATTGACGAGAACATTGAAGTTGGTTTCCTTCTCAATCTTGGACCGCTTTGAAGGCGTAGCACCGCCATTCAGCATAATCTTGGTGTCCGAACCAGTGAAGACAACCAGGCCTACTATCCAAGCTGTGTTGCGAAGCGTGCAACCACGGAGTAACATCTCATTGATGGAGATAGATTCCTGCTTGAGCTCACCAGTCTCCGCGACTCTGTATTGCAGAACTCCATGATAAGAATAGAGGTTCTGATGTGGGGGTTCCGAATCCAACACGAATGATGAGCGCTCGATGTCCTCCTCACAGATGATGCCCGAAGTAGCGCGTACGGACTTGCGTTGTTTGAGGTTGGTCTCGCCGTCTAGATTCTTCGTCTCGACATAGCACATGTTGTCCAGGTCCGACGTTGACAGAACGATGACGTCCGCAGGAATCTGTTCGTTCTCACGCAGCAGCACAATGTCGCCTACCTCGAGCTTCTTCCACAGCGTTCGCTCCCACCGCGCCAGTCCTGTCATCCGCTGCCCATCATTGACCACCCCAACGGTTGACTGCGAGCGCACGGACTCCTGGTAGCCGGCGAGTGTCCCAGATCCTCCGGCCCATGACCCAAGTACCTGTCGATGACTGCTTCCGATGCTCCCGGAGGTCTCCATGCCAGCCTTGGGCGGATAGCTGTGGTAGTCCAAGCTACCCATCTGTGGTCTACTGCTTGTGTTGTCGAACCTCCGGGGGGGCGCCGGCGGGAGTGAGGACAAGGATAAGTTCGGGTCATTCGCCGCGCGTAGACTGAACAAGTTCCCTCCGAGGCCTTTACTCAGCACAATATCCATACCCTCCTGCGCCTCTCGTTCCCGAAGTTTCCGCACACCTTTTGTCACTCGACCTGGGGGGTTGAGGCGTAGCAATCGTTCGAACCATGAGCGTGGATCAGCCGGTTGATTGACGTTATGCCATTGTCCCAGTTTCGTCGACGCTGACGTGTTGACCTCCTCGTCCAGTTGTGCGCGACGGTAGTCTTCGATCCCATCCTTCAGCGCAGTGATCGACAAAATGAACAGCAGCGGCAAGGCGGCCAATTGGGGTGTAGTCGCACCAAAGATAGAAAACACTACGAGAATAATGAGCTATTTACATAGATTACTTACCATCACCCATAGTACGTACCTTGCGCAATAGCAAGTCCTAGGAAGTAGATATTAGCCACTCTGGAAATCTCAGCGTCAGTAAAACGGAGGCGGTGTCGAAATCGGAATGAGCCCAGCCTACCTGCGGAATTGCTCGTAGAGGTTCTTGGGAATGAACGTGAGGATAGTGTATCCTACACACAATCAGATTTGAAAAGACCCTCCCTCATAAGTTTACTCACTGCTCGTCCGGACTTTATTTCTCTTATAGCGTACTAGTGGCTCGCCTCTACTGTCCAGATCCTCTCTAGGCAAGGGTGTATTCACATAAATCTTCCTCCGTGGTCCTGCCACGCCTCCAGTTGGACCAGCCGGTGGTGCGGGGGGCTTCTTCTTCTGCGACCTTCTGTGGAAGAACTGCTTCCCCCTCAGAGATATCTTCCTCCGCTCAGTCCGCTCCTCCTGTCGCGCGTACTCTGCGAGGGTCGACGCCGCCGTGCGCACGGTACGCAGGCGCAACTCTGGATCAACGCCGTCGTCCTCGTCATTGATGGAGTCGTCGCGTGGAGAGTGTCGCCGTAAGAATGACATAGAAGGACGGAGCGACGCGGCTCGAGATGGGTAGGGCCTCAGACAATTGATGGAAACCCCAAGCCGGATAGCAAGAAAATGTGCAAGTCTGAAGGTAAAGTGTACGCTCTCACTCTGGCTGCGGCAGACGACCTCACTGCCCCGGCATCATCGCCTGATCCCGGACCCCTGGGACCCCAATTCGCGTCAAACTTTCCCTCTGAGACGGCCGAGCCAGGAACGCTGACCGGGGTTATGGCCACCAGCTTACTACAGTAGAAGTCTCGAACATTTGTATCTCCAGGTTGAACGTTGAACGCCGAGCGTAGATTTTCCTGCATACAAGTGTTTACTATTGTGCGGACGCTTTACCCACGAACCCTCATGTAACTAATTCAAACTTCGAACATCTTCATTCCCTTGTTTCTGGCTCGCTTGGCTTGGAGCTTGAAGGGCCCGATGGTCAGTTCGTCAACGAGAGGAGTAGGGCACGGAGCGATAACAGTGGGAAATCTGCCTCTTCGGACGATGTAAAATGCATGACCCCGGTTGCTCACAGTTGGTGACCAATTCGCAGGCCCAGCAGCTGCGCATGGAGGTACCTTGTCGACATTGTCTTGGAGTCTTTCCTCGATCAGCGAGGCGCGCACGACCCCGTCGTGTACCCGAAGGTATCGCGCAGCACCCGTGGATGAGCGTGTATAGCTGTGGCCTTCTACCCAATCTCCATACGGCACTATCGAAGATCAAGAGGTGACATGCACCTACGTGTCGCATCGCGAACATGGGGGCTTGATACCAAGGTACTATATGCATGCAGCATGGTCCGCGCAGCGAGTTCTCATTAGCGTTAGATGGTTTGTTAATTCCGCGGAATTATGAATGCATGTCACTTTGGTGCACATGCGGATGCATGCATGAGGGAGGGGGGTTCCTTTTAAATTGAACATTCAGATGAATATCACATCTGAACGCGTTACAAGGTCCGGTATATATCAAGTAAGATCCGGAAAGCAAGTTTTGAGCACTTATCCTAAGAGAATGCCAGGTTAGGCCCATCGACCGCGATTTGTGCCAAGTAAATTGCGGTCTCCGCAAGGATGACGAGCTTTCCCTTCCCAGCGAATACCATATTTGCAGATTCTGTGCCGATGAGAAACTTCCCAATGAGGGTGCCTTCCTCGTCCCACACCTGCATCGGATCAACCGTGAGTGTATGGTTAGTCGAGGAGCGCAGACACGAACATGCACGCCGTCTCCGCATGCGGAGTACACGTTGCCCTTGGCGTCAACTTGTACACCGTCAGGTACACCTGAGTCAATGTATGCGAAGACGCGGCGGTTTGTATAAGCCTGACTCTTCGGGTCGACATCAAATGCGTATCTACAGTCATGACGATTAGTGACGATGAACTGAAGAAGTGAAATTTAGTACATAAACGTGCGTACATGGTAGCAGGGTCCGTCTGGTTCTTGCCTAAGAATCCTCCAGAGGCACCCGTATCAGCGCTGTAAATGATCTTTAAAATATAGACAAACTACAGAGCCTATTCACACTTACATATATGCAATGCTGCCGTCTGGCGAAAAGGCCAATCCATTCGGTCGCGTGAAGCCATCGGCAACGACACGGATACTCCCAGTGTCAGGATCGAAGCGGTATACCTGGTTGGGGAGGAGCGGCTGCGGGCGGAAATGGTTGAGGAACCCGTATCTACCATACGAATGAGGTAACCTCTACATGTGGCCGATAAAAGATACACACGTCACATCCGTGAAGAATATCTTCTTGCTTTTGGGATGCACTTTAACATCGTTCAAGGAGTTAAATTGACGACCATAAAAGTTGTCCAACAGTACAGTCACGTTGTGTGGCGGCACCGGGTTCACGAGGGTCAAGGAAGTTGGCAGCAGGGCCCTGCCAGAGTTGATGAATAGCAGAGATGATCGGAATGGTCCTGTCCCCCCATTCGTCATCTGCACAGTATCTGGGAGGTCGAGCTGAAGGAAATGAGACGTCGTGAGCGATTGAGTCAAAGGCTGCTGCACCGACCGGAGTGACCGTCACATTCACAGGAGATGTGCTACTTCCAGATGCAGCCATAGCCCCATACACCTCTGGCATATCGATCTTCGCAACCTGGTTGTTGTTGTCCCAGTCGCTGAATCCAAGTGCCCCCCCGCCATTGCTTGAGAAGAACAACTCGTCCGTGTCGGGAATCCAGATGGGTGCTTCGTGGGCGAACGCGAATCCTGGATTTGACGCAATCTCTCGAATCGAAGGAGATGAGCCAATGATCTCGAAGAACGACGGATGGAACGCCTGGAAGAATGGGGGCGCTGTGCTCGTCGGATTGAAGTAAGAACTGTAGGAATCTTTGCGGAAATTTCCATTCTTTCCTATCGCATTATATTGCAAGGGATCTACGATCTGAGCAGATTATAATGCACAGATGTGAGTGTAAATCTTTATAACGCCCGGTGGAATCTTCTGACCACCGTCTGAGCGGGCGGAACCAGCCCCTCAAAGGACAAAACTTGTTGCTGCGCTACCGAGTATTTCCAAGCAGCTGCACCTGCAAGAGCCGCCAGGCCCCACAACGGAAGCATTTTTCCATTCGATCTGGGTGGATTTGACTCTTGAGTGCTCATCGTTGTCTGTGATCCAGATTGATACTGTTGCACAATGAATGTTTTATGATCATACATACCTCAAGATCTCGTAACGTGGCGTTTTGAACGACAAGGAGCAGATAGAGTTAATGCATATCTCTCGGGGAGATTCGAGATTCAAACTATCGGGTACTCGCAGCTCAGCTGACCCAAGCGGACGTCCTCGGCTGCCCGCTCGTATCAATGGCGTATTCAATGCATAACTTTAGCTTTTTGCGCGACGTTTTCAGCGGTAACAGCCCAAATGTTGGTCTTTAAGTCGTGATGAGAGTTCGCAGTCATGAAAGCGTAGAGAGGGGCTATAGCCTACTGAATATAGGCGTTGGGCCGGGCTGGTTCAGTTCTACGATCGATTTGAGGGTTCATTGCGGCTAAACCCGACAGATGATGGTCACGTGCCTTCAGAACAAATAAATGCTAAATTATTTCAATGAAAGTAGCGGCCGAGACTTGGTTTGAGCCAGACGTTTCGTAAGTACCGGGCTTACGCATAGTACTTGTTGAGCCGGGTAAGTAAGTGCGCAGAAGTAAGTGCCCTCACTCTGACGCTCTCCGATTGCCTACTAGCCAAGATCTGGAATGCTGGCGTCTTATGTGTCGGCGGCTGATTACGGTCCGGAGACAATGGAAGACGTATATGAGAAAGTGTAAGCCGGATTTTTTCGAGCGTCAGATCGTTACTTTGACTTTTCTTTTGTTCCAGCAGATGAACAAAGGAACCGAGTTCAGCAATCCTGTCGCTGGCCCTAATATTCCTTCTCGCTTAAAGGCTGCGTCATTATGCGACTGAAATCGAGCCACTCGTCGAGATTTCGCTCCCTCTCTCTCGCGCGTGGACGCAACGCGCTGTGGCTCCATGTTCCTTTCACTAATGTACCGGCAGGGTTCTCCGGTAGACCGTCTTCCTGAAGAAATACTTTCCTATGTCTTTGTTCTCGGCGCGCAACCCGTCAAATGGGGGATGCCCTCGGATGGCGTCGTTCTCCGCGACAACACCAACATATCTCCATGCGCCGGGTTCCCGTACAATCACCCCGTACGCGTTGCTTCCGTGTCAAAGCATTGGAGACAGGTTGCGTTGAACACGCCCGCTCTCTGGAACAAAATCTTCCTTTCTCTCCGCGATGTATACGAGGACACCGGTGACATGGATCTCCGCTTCGCTTCAATGTTCCTGGAGCGGTCTAGAAATTATCGTCTGGATATCTTCGTGGATGCGCGCGATCCAGAATGGGACTTTTCCGAGTTCGAGTGAGTCTTCAAGTGTTGTCTTCCAACATGCTAATCCTGATTTATGTACCAGCCCATCGACCGCCGGAAATACTCCTTGTGAGGATACCGACGTCGACGATCGATACTTTCACCCGTTTACCATGACGTACATGCAGGATGCTCTGGGGTTGATTCTATCCGAGCTTCATCGGTGCCGCTTCCTGACGGTCCTCGTCGATCGCTGGTACCATATGTACTTGACGCTCTTGTGTCTCAACGGCGGAACTACCCAGGCGCCACTCCTCGAGTCGTTGATCCTAATGCGATGCAACGAAATTGTTGCGCACTCGCCTGTGTTCAAGCCCGAAACATTCGCGGCCGCACCGCTCCTTCCCTTCCGCGGCGCCCTGGCCGGCACCGCCTATCCGCGCCTCAACAGGCTAGTCCTGTCTGGGGTACACTTTGATTGGTCTGCTTTCCCCTCCAGACTTCCTGACCCGGTCTCATGCGGCGCTCGCTTGCATTCGCTCGACCTGTCTTATCTATGCAAGGCCGTACGACCAAGCATAACAGAGTTCCGCAGTCTACTTGAGCGCTGCTCTGCTTTGAAGGAATTGTCTATTGTGCTCTCCATGCCGCGGCATGATCCGACAGCGGTGGACCTGGATGTAGAACCTGTGGTACTACATCGCTTGGAGAAACTCACCTTCGGCTACGACGATGGCAACGACGCAGTATACACCCTGCGCGTGTTTCAGGCGCCGAACCTTCGCGTGCTCACGCTGTGCGATGCAACGTCTCCCACAGCTTTCTTCGAGCAGGATGGCGGGTGCGTTCTGGCCTACTTTGCACAACAGGATCCCATCATCCCGGAGGTCGGCACACTGCACGTCCAAGAGATGCCTCTGCGGCCACTCTTTCCGCTGCTGGAGGAGGTCACCGTGCATTCTGTCAAGGCATCTGTGGAAGCGTTCCAGCTGTTCTTTGCATCGCTCCCCCAACTCAGCTCGCTGAAGCTTTCGCGAATGAGGCAGGAATGCTTTGTGGCGCTACGTCCGAGCCGGCCCTGCGACCCGCCGTACTGCCCGTGTCCGCTCGTGAATTGTTTCCGAGCGTTCGACTATTTCGCGGTTTTACAGCCTCTCGTACTGGCAGTGCTCCAAGAGCGGTCGGACTACGGTGCTGTTGCTCACGACGTGCAGGCACAGCCCGTAGACGAGGATTCAGATTCGTCGGATGAAGAAGGAGATAGCGGCAGAGTCGAACTCAGCAACTTTGAGGCAGCGCTCTTTGAGTCGCAACTGCGCGCTGCGGGGATGGGTGGTTTGTTGGATGCAGCTGTAGCCGCGGTCAATGCGGCGACTGCGACCATGGCCAATGCCCTGGCTCCTGCCCCCTTCATTCAGCAAGCTCAGCAACCGGCCGCTCCCGCCACGGCTGGTCGACTCTGATTGGCATCTGGTTCTTGGAAGTTAGGATAAAGTATAATGCATCCTTTGTAGTACAGAAATTCATGAATGTATGCGTCTCGTTTTGTACCAACTGTAGTTTTGTATGGACTTAATATATCAATGGGTGTTTGTCCCGGTGGCCGTAGCCACCAAGACTTATGTCGGACACAGCGTAAGTATCGTTGCACAATAAAGTAAGCTAGGCCAACATTGGGGATACAGGTTTGCGTGCGTCGTGCCCTCCGCGTCATCGTGATTTCAAGGGCTGATCATCCTCAGCCGCCAGTACTTACAGTGGTGACTCGAATTTCGCGCTCAACAGGAATGCCTACGCAGTCGTTGCTTATAACCCGCAAAGTTGAGGTCAATATCAGGTACATGCTGCGCAATTGGGGGGCAATGGAGCATTTCGTCATAAAAGACACTTTCCGCTTAGGCTGGAAGTTCCAGCCTAAGCGGCAGCCTACCAAGGCTGGCACGGGCTTGTCACCTGCAGACAAGTATCTAGACTTGCGGTACGCTGGCGCATGTAGCCATGACTAACTTGCTGGGGCGGACTGGATCGAGGCCCTTTTGAGGGTGCTAAGTGACACGGAGGTCTGGAAAGTGAGAGTGCACGCCAGACTGACGCTCGAGTACAAACTTGGAATGATACCCGGATGACCACATCTGAACTGCGATTTATATAGGCACAGCAATGGAGATCAGCGAAATGATGGAGAGACCATGCAATGTGTCATTAACAGTGGGTAGGACTGCGCAAAAGCGACAAGAATCAGATATCGAGGTGTCTACGTTCCGGGCTCTATGGGGTACTAGTAGCGTATAAATGAGGACGGGGCGTACGTGCAGGAACCGGAGTGCGATGAGGTGAGGCAGACTACGTGATAAATTACCGCTGTGTAATACACTGAGCGTCGCAGACGTCGTCAAATCTGCCGGGAGCGGACGTGAGTAAGAGCGCGAAGCAGACGGCGGACATGCACCCACAAGATCATGAATGGTCATCACAGTCGCATCACAGAGTCGTCTCATTGCGTGAACACAGACGCCTGCACGCTGGACTTGGACGTTGCAGGTGACGGTGGCGGTGGCAGCCGGCTCGGAGGAGAGTTGGAACGCTTCGAGCGCTGGAAGCTGCGCACGAACTCGAACTGAGGGCCCGTCTCGGGGCTGCAAGGGAAGCGCTTGCACTTCTCGACGGTCTTCCATTCCTCCGCAATCATGCGAAGCGCGCCCGCTCCGTCCTTAGCGACACCCGACTCGACGAGCCAACAGCCAACGATGAGCCCGGTACGACCTATCCCCCCGCGACAGTGCACTGCAGCGATGCGCGCCCGGCACTCGCAGTCGCGGAGGACGTCCATGATCCGGCGGACAAAATCGACGCTCTCGGGCAGGTTACGGTCGCGGATGGGGAAGTTGTGGTACTCGACCTCGCAGGCGTCGATTCCGAGCAAAGCACAGCGCGCAGCGAGATGTGGAGCGTACGGGAAGAGCTCATGGGGCTCGGTGAGGTCAATGAAGGTGCGGACGCCGGCGAGGAGCAGGGCGTCAAGCTTCTGCTTGGTGTGCTTGTGGGCGAGCATGGCCGGGGTGATTGGGCAGTACGGAAACTCGCATGCAACGAGGTAAGGGGTGGCCCAGTAGGAGTTTGGGATAGGGCGGGTGCGGTTGCGGAACGCGGTTGTTCGGGAATTGAAGGTCGTGTGCGCCGGTAGGGGCAGAGATATTGGCTCGGGCTTGTGCCCGAGCAGTGGGTTAGATATCTCGTAGGTAGCGACAGCCATGATTCGTGAATGCAGAGGGAGACGAGAGCGCACAGAGTTTATACGAGCAGCGCGAGAGGAGGAAAGCCTGTTTCCGAGGGGCGTTGCGACGAGGTCGAGTGCAAGGTCTCGCCCTTTTGTCCGGGTGGTGGACTGGAACATGCTCGCCCGGTGCGGTGGGGCACGTGCCTTGTTTCCCAAATATGGCCGATCCGCTGGCGGCTGCGATGGTTTTCTTGTCACGGTTCTGCTGCTCGTGTCCTCTCTATCGCTCAGTGGCGGCTGGGTTGCGGTTTGTGGTTCGGGGGCGTCCTCCAGAGGTTGTTATCGTGGCAGACACCACCGCGCAATCCCCGCTGGTAAACTAACATCTCCCGCTCCGAACTTCGTTCCTAATCCGGGCTCATCGTGGAGAGCTGGACCATTCCGCCCGCTCAATGCTGGTGTTGCATCTCCAAGTTCTCGTCGGGCGTTTCTGAGGTCTGGAAGGTCCATTTTGTGTGATATCATGGCCTCATCATGTCCCCAGGAGTGCGTGAGACAGCCGCTCAAACACCGTGCGACTGACCGCAGTATTCTATCCCACATTTATAGCTGTTCAGCGGACACTGGGAGCCTGAGGTTCGTGTTCGGTCAGTTCTCCAAAGCTAGTTTTTTGCACGTTCTATTGGCTTATCACGATAGCAGACAACGCCGTGTCGTCGATTTGATGCTCCGAGGGTCGTGGCCTCGCTCCTTCCCTCCCAAGCATTCGACATTAAATGGGTGATACAGCCAGCGCGACTGCTCACCGCATCGCGGTTTTTGGATTGCTGTCATCTGCTAGACCGCTCGGCTTTCGTCCTAGGGCGACTACGGCTCACCTGGGCCCGAGAAACGGATGAGCTCGAGCAGCAGCTCACAATCTAGAACACGAACGCCTTATCCTCGATATCCCTAGCCTAGACGATTTTTTCCATCCGCAAAAGTGGCGCACCACACGTTCGTCAGTGTCCAATTGTCTGTTGCACAAGCTGCATCCCCTTTGCCCAGTACGCGCCAGGCCTCTGGCGCATGTCAATGCTGCGCAAGCGCACACATCATAGTAGTTCGTCGCCGAACAATCTCCGCAGGCCAGATGACCTTGGAATTAGGATCCGGAAAACGTGGATAGCTCGGCGGTCATCTAGGATTACTTACCGGCCTTCCGTAGAAGGCAATGTAGTTTCACTTCTCCACGTGTAATTATAACTGTATACCTTCCAATGAAATAGATCGGCCTATCTACCCTTCAGTCGGCTTCTCTTCTCGACTGTTGGATAATGAATGTGACAAGCAGTCTCTGAGTAAAATGGGATCAACGGGGGTAAATCACCGATCGAGAGCGCCCGCGTTAGTCCTGTATTCATGTATGCTCGCGCTAGCCGAGAGAAGGGCCACATCTGAACAAGAGAGGGCCCAAGCAGCATACCAAGATCGGAAGATAAACTGCCTAGGGATTCTAGCAGCTGCGTCGTCGAAGCTCTCCCTACAATCGACCCAAAGCGCCTTAGGGCCACGCAGACTGGACGGAACGCGCAAAGTCGCTCGATGCAGGGACAATAAATGTAGTGTTTGTATCAGCGAGACAAGCGGTATCAGAAAACTCTAAGTCGTCACATTATTCATGGAACGCAAGATTGACAAGGGCGTACTAGAACGATCACGAGGCACCAATGCGACCTGACGCAGATCGACACATGTAGATATTGTGGACGTTCACAACAGCTTCCCACTCAAAGCACCTGAGCATGGTATGATACAATGCAGACACGAAGAGACACAGCCAGAGTAATAAAATGACCAAGCTAATTTGAATTAATGAATGATTACAAAATCAGGTAACTCACTGTGCAACCAGATAGATTTCTAGGGTGGTAATTTCACGACTTCGCTGGCTGGATAGCGAGATACATATTGAAGCAACTCGGAGCGCCACCAAATAATGATATGGGTTTCCATGACATGCCGCCATGGCACAAACTGCGAATGCTCGACTAGTTCTTCTACTTATGCAGTCAGTTGCTGAAAGTGTTGGAGTTTGGAAAGCAATCGTGTGTAGATGCATGCGAAGTAAGACAATACTACACGGAGTTGATCTACGTGAGAAGCTTATGACGACCCGGCGGTGATCAACGTGAAGTAAGCAGGATAAGATGTGGAATTGACGACGTCGGTCGAGTCTAATGCTTCTGAGGACTGTGAGGCCGAAAGTCCGACTGTAATCGATGAATTTCTGCCTGATTCTGGAGGGTGCCCAAGCGAGAGCCTAGGAAAGGATGGATGGGATGAGGAATGGCCACTCACATTAGGGGGCACTTACGAGGACATGTTGATGTGTGTCGTGAGCTGCATCTCCATACAGGTAGAGCCCTCGACGGCGCGCAGATCACGCACATCCCCTGCAGCCCCTCTATATATTCATAGATATTTACCAGTTGGAAGGTACGGAGGCATGGTATATGGGTTAGTCATGTTTAATATACAAATGTGGCCCATCTTACGTTTCAATGTCGCTCTTGACCTCTATTAGAGATACAACTGCTGCAGAAGATACCACGACACTTCCGAGACCAAGCCGGGGGTCAAAACTGCAATGTCATGGATGTTGTCTGTCTCACCTAACAACTGAGGCTATAAGAGGCATTAGAAAAACATATGAGGTAATCGGATTTTAACAAATCCTACCCGGAACAGCGAATAGCATCGTCATCATGGCTGCGCGCGGCATTAATTAAAATCAATGGGCACATTTCAACTCGGACATACGGTTTAAATTCAGCCAGGCGAAAACCTTTAGCACAACGTCGTTAACATCGACTGACAGCCCGAACACCCACTTAGAAAGACACGTACCAGGGTGGGTATATTAACCATCAATGTAGTGATGAGATATAAGACATTGTGTCTGTATATCAAAGCCCATAGGCGCGTCCCAGCGGCGTCGGCTCGGGAATACAGCCCAGCGACGGTGAAGATGAGAATACCAGCGTCGAAGCATATAGCTTATAGATACGAGGGAGAACAGCGTAGCATTGAGGAATGCTTCGGTCAAGGATAGAATACGAAATAACACGCACTATAAAGGAAGAATAACAATAGGTGGATGCGGTTACTGGGGTATGACCCACCGCAAAGCGCCAGCCCCGAGACGGGTATCTCGTTGGTGCTGATTGGACCGACTGTTTATGTTAGGAATTGAGACAAGCGCGATACTATGAAACAGAACAGACACGTGAGGCCGATAATCCATTGGGCACTGCTCAATAGAAGGAGGACAGCTTGTATGGCCCGGTTGTGTTTCCAGAGGAGTAAGCTAATAATGAGATTTCATGCATGTAAACCATAAAAGCTGAGATGGATATACTTACGCGCGAATGAGAAAGTTCGTGGACGATGTCGATACAGCAATGTTACCAAGTGTCTGTACACAGTTGAGCATGTCTTCTAGCCAGAGTGCCTGACTCAACGCTTACAGTGAATAGCTCAAAAGCAGCTGGAATGTGAATACATGAGCATAAAACCATGTGAGTGGGCAGACATATATACATGTACAGCTCCCTGTCGAAGGTATGCTTGGGACAATAACACTAGCAAGGCGTTAGAGCATCAGACAATTTTAAACAGTATCTGTGCCATGTGAACTTACATTGAGAATGATTGTATCAGTTGGGCGTACCGCCCCAGTAAGTAGGGAATCTAAACCATCATACACATTAGTAATGTTTGAGGACGGCGGGGGCGGGACAACGCACATAAACAACTCGAAACTTCAGCTTGCGGATGATGAGCGGCCACTCCACATGATGCAGAGTCAAAAGAAAGTGCCAGCTAGAACACCACGGCCCAGGGTTGGTCTCGAGGCAAGGATGGTGACAGTAGATAAATAGCCGCACGTGTAAACACCCAAACACCACAGTTGGATAGTAGTAAGAAAGATCGTTGCCGAGGGCTGCACAGCATCCTGGCTTTGCCAGTCGACCATCTAGCAACTTGGAGTGATCTGCCTGAAGATGGTTTACAGCCCAACGGCTCACTTCCCAGCGCCAGCCTATCTATGTACTAAGGTCGCAATGGATTCCGGAGTGTGAGTGGGATATCAAACAGCGAAATGTGAATTTTGTCTCCGTCTCAAACAATTATTTGAGTACTTGAAGCAGCGGACTGGAAAATAAACGGGGTTATGCGGCATAAAACGAAAGGACGGAGTGGCATTGAATATAAAAGTTTCACACAAGCAACAAGCTGAATCATGTAATTCGGGTGCGTACGGAGTCTCCGGAGCTTAAAATATGTTGGAATCAGATTGGAAGTCGCAGTATTGCCACATTCTCTATTGCAAGGTGCTTTCGCAAGCTCTGTGTGCGTTACGATCCACTTTAGACAAGTAATAATTCCCCGAAACTAGTGGCTACTAAGACTCCGAGTCAGAAATGAGACCAAAGCCAGCCTGAGAAGCGTCCAAGTCGCCGGCAGCAGTGGCAATCATGATGATGAGATCAGTATGTATATACCGTAACAAGCAAACAAATGTGCTAACTAAGACACGGCGATAACCGGTAACCGGTCCGTACAAGTAGAACTAATACGACTGGGCTAACTTATCTCTATCGAGGCTCTGGGAGGCAGTACTCTACTATGTTGGGGGAGGGAGTAGGTGGAAACCAAGCTTTGTTCTCGTGTGGTGTGTCATCGTGAACACTCCGCGTCGCGGCCCGGGGCGTTGTGCGCCGTGGTAGTAGGAAAGAGTGGAATATAAATTTAATTTAAAAAAAACGGAATCTAAGCTTGCCAGTAGCACACACATGCGTGCGTGAGTCTGGGCGTGTGGATCATCCTTCTCTGGTTGTGAATGTCTTTGCGCGCCGCCTCTCGTCCTATCTTTCGTCGCCTTCGCTCCCTTCGTCTCCTCCTTCCTCGGGGTTGGGTTCGTCTTCCCATCTGACTCTCCTCTTCGCCTTCGGCCTCTCTCCTGTCTTTGTGAATGCCCCGGATTCTCTTAAGGATCTCCCCAGTGCCTCCATGCCTGCCTCACCGGTTCCCAGGATTGTTGGGAGGTCAATCGTCTCACTCGCCTCCTGGAGAATGTATCTGTGTTGATTGTAGCATGTGCATTCCTGTAGGATGTCTTCTCGTCTGTAGATATTCGCCACATGGACAGTCAACTGGTTCAGATTGTACGAATTCAGAGTAGTACTTGCCTATAAACCCGTGTCCCGTTCGGCATTGCACCAGCCTCCCATATGTCTCCCGCGAGAGCGTCATGAATGATTTACGTGGTTTCGTCATCGGTGGTAACCACTTCGCTGTGGCATAGTATGATCGTCCATGTGGGCCGGTCTCCTTTCATTCTGTCTCCCATGCCTCGAGGGCTTGCAATGGCAATCATGACAGTGGCGTTGACGACTGATGGGACCTATGCACTCGATACTTAGGCTATAAGTAGTCTACTAGTAAGCACCGGCCAACAGTTACAGTGTTGTGTCAGGGTTTGATATCATACAAATGAAAGACATAGCATGGATAACCTGGTATATCTGGTATATCTGCACAATCTGAATGCTTCCTAGATCAATGGTGAACTTTGGGATCCTTCAGGCTTCTCCGATTGCGTATTTCTGTAAATTGACCGACTAGATCAACGACGATATCCGATGTGGTATCACCGATGCAAATATTGGGAGTAGCATACGCGCCACCGCAGAGAGATCAACGAGAAGAACCTTAGGGCTACGTAGACTCGATGGAACGCGCGAAATCGCTGGATGCAGGGACAATAAATGTAGCCTTTGTATCAGCGAGACAAGCAGTATTAGAAAACTCTAAGTCGCGACATTACTCATACAACACAACATCATTAACAAGGGCATACTAGAACGATCACGAGGCACCGATGCGACCTGACGCAGATCGGCACATGTAGATATTGTGGACGTTCACGACAGCTTCCCACTCAAAGCTGTCGTGGCTGAACAAACCGAGCAGGTAAAGCTGCTCAGGTCGAACACCTGACAATAGCAGCTGGGTGTTTCCCTCCTTGGTAGCCATGATCTGCAAGCTGCCGTCAGTGGCCAGACGCACAAACAACAGTACCCCAGCGGTGCTCGCCTTCATGTATTCATAAAATGCAGCAGATACCTTCGCCGCGATTTCACGATGGGTCAGTGGCCGCCAGTCCTCGCTAGACCCCCTGATCGACACGCTCGTCGAGTAGTTATCGTAACCGGGCCACTGGGGAGCAGATTGAGACACACCACAAAGACGACGGCTGCGGATACTCACCGTGATATGCAACTTGATGAATTCATGAGGCATCATCGCCCCCGGTGGGGTGTATCCATACAGCATCGGCACCACTGAATTATCGAGGCATTCAGCCATGCTGACGCCACGGGGAAAGGCCCTGGGAGCGAGAAATGGGATGTGGTAGTTATAAGAATCCCGCAGCCGCCTTTGTTGAAGGATGAATTCGCGATCTTTAATCAGTCTTCCTTTGTATATGAACGGGTAGTATACGACTTGTTTGTCCCCGTGCCGACGAGATGTCTTTGAACGGCAAGAAGTTAGGTGTCTATCATGGTCTAGTTCGCCACTCAGGAAGCCGTGCATACTGACGTACCGCGGAGGCGACTCTGTCAAATTGCCCAGCTTCTCGGCTTTCCATTTGCAAATGACGAGGGGGATGCCTTGAGGGAAACGGCTGACGTATAGGATGAAAGGAAACACTGTCGAATAAGTCATCGGAAGATGAGAGTTTATATACTGCCTGGCCAGCCACACAGAACAGCCGCCAGGATCTACGTGGACGAGTGTCGCTGGATCGTATTGCCATGGCACCTGCGTCGTGCGCGACTCAGTTTCAGCACGGAAAACCCGCAATATGCAGGGACGAGAGCAAGACAAAGGAAGCCGCATAACCCGACTTGGTAGTCCTTGTGCATATCGCGGCTTGCCGGTGTGGCAAGATTCATCGATCAGTTTTCGGTATGGCTGCACAACGCCCAGACGAGCAGGCTCGAAAGAAGGCCACGACGTACCCACAACGTGCTCACGACGGCTTGAACAGGCTCGTTGGATGGCGCGCCGGATATAAGCTTCGTGGCTTCGGAAGAGGCACCTGAGCATAGTATGATACAATGCAGACACAAAGAGACACAGCCAGAGTAATAAAATAGCCAGGCTAATTGGAATTAGTGAATGGAAACAAAATCATGCAACTCACTGTCCAACTAGATGCATTTCTAGGGTAGTAATCTCATGAATTCGCTGGCTAGATAGCGAGATACATATTCAAGGGAGCGTCACTAAACAATGATATGGGGTTTCATGACAGCTGCCATGGCGCAAACCGCGAATGCTCGACTCGTTCTGCTGCTTATGCACCTAGTCACTGAAACTGTTAGAGTTTGGAGAGCAATCGCGTGTAGATGCATGCAAAGTAAGACAAGCCTACACGGAGTCTAATCATGTGAGAAGTTATGACGACCCGGCGGCAGCAGCGATAAATGTGGAGTTAGCAGAATAGGATGTGGAATTGACGACGTCGATCGAGTCTAACGCTTCTAAGGATTGGAAGGCCAAAAGTCCGGCTGTGTTTGAAGAATTTCTGCTAAGATCTTGAGGGCTCCCGAGCGAGAGCCTAAGAAAGGATGGAGGGATGAGGAATGGCCGCTCACATTAAGGAACACTTACGAGGGAATTTTGATGTGTGTCGTGAGCTGAATCTCTCCGCAAGTAGAACTCTCGATGGCGCGCAGATCACACACATCCCCCGTAGCGTCTCTAGATGTAGTTAGAAATATTTACCGGTTTCGAGTTACAGAGCCACGATATATGGTCAGTCATGTTTAGTATCCAAACATGGTCTATCTTACGTTTCATTGTCGCCCTTGATCTCTATTAGAGATACAACTGCTGCAGAAGATACCATGACGCTTCCGAAACCAAGCCAGGGTTCAAAACTGCAATGTCACGGATGTTGTCTGTCTCACCTAACAACTGCGGCTATAAGAGGCATGAGAAAAACATATGAGGTAATCGGGTTTAACAAATCCTACCTGGAACAGCGAACAGCATCGTCATCACGGCTGAGCGCGGCATTAATTAAAATCAACGGGCACATTTCAACTCGGACATACGGTTTAAATTCAGCCAGGCGAAAACCTTTAGCACAACGTCGTTAACACCGGTTGCCAACCCGAACACCCACCAACAAAGGCACACACCAGGGTGGGTACATTGACCATCAATGTAGTGATGAGATATAAGACATTGTGTCTGTATATCAAAGCCCATAGGCGCGTCCCAGCGGCGTCGGCTCGAGAATACAGCCCAGCGACAGTGAAGATGAGAATACCAATGTCGAAACACATAGCTTGATAGATGCGAAGCAGACACAGCGTAGCGTTGAGGAATTCTTGGGCCGAAGACAGAATACAACGTAACACGTACTATAAAGGAAGAATACTAATAGATTGCGGCGGTCATCAGGGTATGATCCACCGCAAAGCGCCAGCCCAGGGGCGTGTATCTCGTTATTGCTTATTGGACCGACTGTTTTATGTTAGGAATTGGAACGAGCACGATATTATGAAACAAAACGGACACGTGAGGCCGATAATCCATTGAGTACTGCTCGATAGAAGGAGAATAGCTTGTATGGCCCGATTGCGCTTCCAAAGGAGTAGGCTATTATTGATTGCATGAATGCAAATGACGAAAGATCGGACGGATATACTTACGCGCGAATGAGAAAGTTCGTGGAAGATGTCGATACGGCGACGTTACCGAATGTCTGTACACAGTTAAGCATGTTTCCCGGTCAGAGTGCCTAACTCGGTACTTACGGTGAATAGCAAGAAAGCGGCTGGAACGTGAATACATGAGCATAAAGCCAAGTGAGTGGGCAGACATATATACGTGTGCAGCTCCCTATCGAAGGTATGCTTGTGATAATAATACTAGGAAGGCGCTAGAGCATCAGACAACTTTAATCAAAATCTGTGCTGTGTGGACTTACATCGAGAATGACAGTATTAATTGGACATGTCGCCCCACTAAGTATGGAATCTTGACCGTCATACACATTAGTAGTATTAGAGGACGGCGGGGGCGGGAAAACACACATAAACAACTCGAAACTTCAGCTTGCGGGTGATGAGCGGCCACTCCACATGATGCAGAGTCAAAAGAAAGTGCCAGCTAGAACACCACGGCCCAGGGTTGGTCTCGAGGCAAGGATGATAACATTTGATAAGTGGCCGCACGTGTAAACACCCAAACAGCACAGTTGGATCTTAGCAAAAATCGTGGCCGAGAGCTGCACAGCATCCTGGCTTTGCCAATCGACCATCTAGCAACTTGAGGTAATCTGCCAGGAGCTAGTTTACAGGCCGATGGCTCACTTCCCAATGCCAGCCTATCTATGTACTAAGGTCGCAATGGATTCCGGAGTGTGAGTGGGATATCAACAGCGCAAAGTTTGACCTCCGAACTTCGTCCGTGTCTCAAGCAATTAAAAGTAAATAGCGGACAGAAGAACAAACGGGGTTAAGCGGTATAAACCGAAAGGACGGGGGGGCATCGACAGTAGAAGTTTCACACAAGTAACAAGCTGAGTGTAGTTCGGGTGCGCGCGGAGTCTCCGGAGCTTGAAATGTGTTGGAGTCAAATGAAAGTCGCAATATTGTCACATTCTCTACTGCATGGTGCTTTCGCAAGCTCTGTGTGCGTTGCGATCTACTTCAGACAAGTCGTCACTTCCCAAAACTAGTGACCACTGAGACTCCGAGTCAGAAATGAGACCAAAGTCAGCAGCGCCCAAGTCGCCGGCAGCAATGGCAATGCTGACAGACTGACAGTGGCGTTGGCAACTGATGGGACCTACGCATCCGATAGGCTATAAGTAGTCTACTAGTAGGCATCGGCCAGTGTTGTGTCAGGGTTTGATACACGAGTGAGAGACATAGCATGAATAACTTGGTATATCTGGTATGTCTGCACAATCCGAACGCTTCACAAATCAATGGTGAATTTTGGGATCCTGCAGACTCGTTTGATTGCGCATTTCTGTAAATTGACCGGCTAGATCGATGACGATATCTGAGGTATCGCCGATGCAAATATCGGAAGTAGCATACGCGCCACCGCAGAGAGATCTACGAGGCGCATGAGAGAAAGAATAACGAGGAAGGAGGTTACCCACGACGACAGATCTATGTGCGTAGAAAATTTCGCTTTCTCAGCATCGTATGCACCGTCTTCAGCCTCGCGTAGTCCACTTGTTTCACTGCCGTTCGAACTATGACTGCACAGGGTATCATTTACAGCGCGGCCACATGAATGACGCAATACATGAAATAAGTTATGGCCAACAGATAGCTCACCTTTCAGTACTGCCCTCCAACTCCAACAATGATACGACAGCCGCAGACGAAGTAATCACGCTAAATCGCATGGTCATAATGAGACGTATGGTAAGGCTCCCCGACATACCTGAAAACCCTAGCTGCCGAAGGTGTTAAAGATTAATTTTGCACTGAAATTGAGCTCGTACCAGGTGCGACAAAGAATACGGACATGACAGCTGCATTGTGGTGAATACAAAGTGGCCTGCACCAACAACCGCCCACTTACGATTCACATTTAGTCCGGCTAAAATCTTCTCCTTGTAATCAGGCTATATGTTGAGACGGTTTCAAGAAACGTACCACCACCGGCACGTTCGCCATCAGAGTCCCAAACAAATACCAGAAGCCATGCCTATACACTCGACTCCATAGCCGCGTCCCAGCCGCATCAGCCTTGCGTCCTAGTCCGACAACAGTAAACGCAAGAATGTTGATATCGCAGAAAACAGCTAGCGAATGAGACAAGTCATAGTATCAGCAAGTGCTTAGCAATGCGATCACGATAAGTTGTACGCACTGCAAAAGAAGAAAACTATCAACTCATGATGTGCATTCGGGTATATGTGGCCACACACGGTGTCTTGGACAGGCGGGGATTGACTGACACTTAGAGGACCCACTGAACTCGTATCAGTTCGTGACTAACCATCCACAACGAAAACGAACTCACTTGACAGTCCGATCAGCCACTGAGAAGCGCTCACGAAAATCAAGAATATCCGCACAAGTTGGCTACGCTCCCACAGCGCCAGACTAGGAAAATAGATCGACGATCGACGAAAGGAGAGTAAATAATGGGCTTACGTGCGGAACAGAAGATTCGTAGACGCCGCTGAAACCGCGACGTTGCCTAAAGCCTGCAAGAAACATCAATGTGGCTAGTCGTGATCAAAGAAAACAACTTACCGAGAGAGCCTTGTATGCAGCTATGGAAAAATGAATTATATTAGGTGTATATGATAAAGAGGGCTAGGTGTGCTCACGAGCACAATTAGAAGCAATGGATAAGCTCGGCGCTTTCGTGATAATAACCCTAAGGAAACGAAACTATTCGGAGTCGTTCGGTGTACCCATTGTGATCGTACACCCACAAAGCTATCTGGAGGACCAAGAGGGAGCTTCGTCCTATTATATAGGGAACCTACGTGATGAGTGAGTTCTGCAATGAAAGTGCTTCGAGCATGCCACATGGCATACACACATAGATGAATCGAAACTTCAACTTGCGAGTTATCAGGGGCCATTCCACATGATGCAGGGTTAAAAAGTACTGCCACCTGCGCTTACTACGAATCAATGCGCTTGAAAGTATATTCTTTCAACGAAAATCATACCCGTAAAGGCCTAAGACATATATCAGCGTCCGGGCCCATATCGATCGAGTGAGCTCCGCGACCTCCTCGCTATCCCAGTCGACCATCGGTGCTCGGACACTAAGGTCACAGTGCAGAATTTGGGATAGGGTTGTCGGAAAGACGGAATGAGACTGAAGTGGAATAGAAATTGCCTGACAGGAGTTCTATATGCGCATCCATATGTATGGGGTTTCCACCGCGGTGATAAGGGTCGGGGTACAATTGAAGGAGATCACAAACAAGTTGCTGTAAACGGGTGCGTGCAGGAAACGGGCGTCATGCCTGCACATGAAGCGATGCCAGACATGGAAGATCGACCTAGCCTAGCCTGATAGACTATAAATGGCCCAACGATGCGGAGTCGGAGTTAATCAGCCAATACATTGCGCTTTCCCCACCAGGGCCGACCAACGTAAGCGTGACATCGCCGTGCGGTATTGCCATAGGGAAATTACGATGGATTGAGCAACTACTGAACCCGCTTGTCAGACATTCAACGCCACTCCTGCGATACAACGTATGCTATAAAGTAGTCACATTTGGCATGTAACCTGATTGTAGACTCAATGGGAGAAAATAAATCTGTCCTCTTCGGAATGAAATGAGTATGAATTATAGCTTGCTTTACTCGACGTTGCTCGTCGACGATCCAGTAATCGGAGAGAGAGCAACGAAATTATAGTATCTCGATTGAATCCGGACTTCGATCCACCATGATCTCAACATCCGATGGCCCGCCGGCGAGATACCTGGAAGATTATGAGGATCTAAGAGAAAATCAGCGGAGCCTTGGAAAGACTTACGCAGGCATTTCAATATGCGTTGTGAGCGGATCTTCCTTGTGTGAAAACGTGTTCGTTTCACGTGCACGAAGCGTCGACCCTCCGGAAGTGCTGCAAATGACACCAAGTGATGCCATGGACAGATTCGAATCAGTATAGGGAAAAAAGGTTTTTATTAGCCATCGTTGACAATTAATTAGGCAACTTCCTCACATTCCGTTATCTCCCCGGTCAATGAGAGAGATGAAGGCCTCGGACGAAGCAATCACGCTTCGCGTCAAGTCAATATTGGAATTTCTAAGGAAGCGATGAATATCACCTTACTGCTGGTGCTAAAGGAAGCACAGATAGAGTTGAGTAAGGTAAGTCCGACAATTAGATCATACCTAGTACTCCGAATAACATGTTCATCATAGCTACACCCGCTCTCACGTAAGATGATCTCCCAGTTATAGGGTGAGCACATACAATTCAAGTTTAAGAGGGCAAGTACCTATTGTCCATTGCTCAGACCCACTATCAACTATCACAATATGTCAAACGTACCACAGTAGGAATATTGAACGCCAATGTGATAATCAAATACCAGAGATTATGCTGGTACAGCGCCACCCAAAGCCCTGATCTGGCATGACCCGGTCTCAGACTAAGCCCAAGAATGGTGGAGATGAGGATTACGGCATCAAAACACAAAGCTTACGGAGGCCATAAGTCGATAGACGCACGGGACCCATCAGCGCTTGTGTCACCCAGAGAATACGCGGAGGTACATACTATACAGGAAGAACACGATCAGGTTCCGTTGATCGCTAGGATAGGATCCGCCGCAAAAAGATAATTCACTAGCGTGAATATGACCAGAATCTCTCGAACCAACTGTCATCGCTTAAGATACGACCATTTGAAGCAAAAAGATTCTACGAACATATCAATGCGACCGCCCATTGAGCACCGCTCATGAAGAAAAGAACGCCCTGCATAATCCGATTGTGCTTCCAGATGATTAGACTGCAGTCTGTCAGCGAAATTTAGGCGGAGCTAGCGTCCAAACGCACGTGCGAATGAGAAAATTCGTTGATGACGTTGACACAACGATATTACCAGCAGCCTGCCAGTACATTCGTTGTCATTACTATTTCCTTTGATACTAACGAACCAACCGTGAATAATTTCTGCACAGCTGTAGGATACCTGGTGAGCTTGACAAGCAGATGGCATACGGAAGAACGTACGAAAGCAAATAGCCGACCGGGATACCCTGGGGAAAATCATACTAGAGCAGCACAAAGACGTTAAATTATCATCAGAAATTATTGACATAGACATGGATGAACTTGCGCGGCGAACGACAAAATCAGCATCAGATACCGCCCCACAAAGTAAGGAATCTGCCGGCGTTTAGAGCTATCAGAGATGGTCAATGAGCTATAGATATTGGAGTCGAGCGCACATAGATGAATCGGAATTTCAATCTGCGAGTCATCAATGGCCAATCTACACGGCGCAGGGTCGACAGAAATTGCCACCTAGAGGGATATGCTGGTCTGCTCCCTCTTTAAGCTACAGGGAAAGGGTGGCCGTACGTGTAGAGCCCGATGCAGAACAGTTGCAGACGATAGAAAATTGTTGCTGCGATCTGTATAGCGACCGGGCTGTTCCAATCGACCATCTTGCCCTCAATGACCCTCAATGAGTGCCGAATGAACCCAGAGAGTACTCGCTTGTGTTCCTGTTTACACTTGACGGAACAGCCTGAAAGTATAGGGAGTGAGGGCTCGAAACGGAGTAGAAGCTACCCATCGTCGTCGCAGCGGGAGCAACGTAAGTAATATAGTCTCCAACGGTCGACAGCTGGCACTAAACGGCATAAACGGGGTTACATACGATTCGCGCATCTGCTTACGTGCTTCTGCATCAACGATCGAACGCCACCATCGTTGTCATGCCGCTCGCGGCTGCCTCCCTCCGCGGAACGCTCCAAGTCCCTGTATTGCACAGCAAGAACTTCCCAGTTGCAGCTATTCCAATTGAACCAAGAGTAATTCGCGCGTGTATACAGGCGTGAAGTTAAATATATGCTCATGGATCCAAATCCGTACTGCCCAAGTCGCAATTTAAAATCTACTCCCACTACCCCAGGGCGACTGCGACCGAGCGCGAAGGTCGCACAAGGGAGAATTACATAAGAATACGGTAGAAGCCGATTATTGGAATAGATTATGGGACTAAAAGCTTCAGCGAGGCTTTTCCGCATAATTTACTTGAAAGAAATAAAAGAAAAATTTAGATATAGTGCAGATATTACCGGCGGTGGGATCATATAAGTAACCTTCCCGCAGACATTATATGGCGGTTAAGGCACGTGGGTGACCGGCTATCTATCGGTCAGGATGAGAAGCTCCCACAAGGCGGCGACTGTCAATCTTGCATGGGTTGAATCACGGTTGTTCCAATATCGTCGCAGGGCCCATTGAAGTGACGGCTCTGAATCGTACGGGAAGCTCTGAACAGAGGGATGAGGCTGCGATACTGGAAGATGGCGGGGGATGCTTACGGGGCTATATCGATGTGGGTCGTGAGGGGGCCTCTATCCGCGATATTTTCGATATCGCATGCCTTGTCTGAATCACCTGCTTCTTCGCTATACGATTCGTCGAATATAGTGGAAGTATGCAAAATGTCGGCAATATAGAACGACGCGCGAGTGAATGTCACATTCAATGATCTTTATCAGATGAACTCACACGCACCTCTCGCCCATTTCTAGCTCAATCAGAGAGACAACCGCTGCAGATGAAATGATCACGCTTGGATTTGAGGGTCACCACAAGTTCCAGTTCCAGGCGGCGCGTATGATTTACCTGATCGAACCAGCTTGAGGAATGTGAGTACACTGGCTCGTAAGGTCTGCTTATAAATGTCGTACATGGGAGGGCAAATATCATATTCATAATGGCTGAATTTTTGGCGGCGTGAGATAGATCTCAGCGACCTAAGCGCAGACGTACGGTTAAGGTCCAGCCAGGCAAATACCTGGATACCACAGTCGTGCATTAGGATTGGGTATATGTGCTCAAGACGGAATGTATAAACGCACTACTGTGGGGATGTTGGCCATCATCGTAGCAAGCAGGTACCAGATTGGATGCTTAAAAACCTTCACCCATAAACGTGTGCCGGCCGCATCCGCCTTGATGTGTAGCGCAATAATAGTGAAAACGAGAATACTGGCATCAAATAGAACAGCTAGTGGAATCGTCAACAAGAGAGAATGTCGGAATGAGAGTCGGTGAGACACTCACTGTAAAGAAAGAATATCACGAAGTTGCGACGATTATCAAGATATTTCCCACCGCATAGAGCTGAGCCGGCGCCTTCCGAGTTCCCAGAATGTAACGCACCGACTATTCGCCAGTGAGCCATCGAATTCAGCAAACTCGAGCCGAAAGCCAGTACGCACAGCCGAATCCGAGCGCCCACTGTGTTAAGCTCAGGGAGAGAAGAATTCCTCGTACGAAGCGGCTATGCTGCCAGAGTGCCCACCTACATATGCCTATGTTAATGTGCGCGATTGATAGAGCGACGCAGCTTACGCGCGAAGTAGAAGGTTCGTAGATGACGCCGCCAGAACAACGCTGCCTAAGATCTGTGCCGAGCGAGTTTATATCAATTCAAACATCACCATCGTCACAGCGATATCGCTACGGTGCGAGAGCTCACTGTGAAAAATATCAAGTCGGCTGTATTCGCAGAATGGGTCATGAGCTGCGCCGAAGAGTAGAATTCATATGAAACTCGCCGATGCAAGTATCTGACGGATTATTAGTCCCTGGGGCAATTAGTCTTTGAAGAAAATTCGCGTCACTGGAGGCTGGTAGAGTAGGGTGTAGCAGACTCACGGCGCAAGTAAGGAAATTATTAGCGAGTATCGTCCCAGGAAGTAGGGAATCTGTGCGGGTGTGAAGCTGCCCGATACAAACCACGACAGCTGCAAGAAAGAAAAAAACATACGTAGATGAGGCGAAACCTCATTCTTCCAGAAATGAGCGGCCATTCTACTTGGTGTAGGGTCCATAGAAAATGCCAGCTGGAAACGACTGCATCAGGTTGTAAGGCTATCGCATGCGAAGAATAATCCACACGTGTTGACTCCGAGAAATATCATCTGGAGGTCTTCAAAAATAAGGGATGTAAGCTGTACGACATACTCGCTGTTCCAATCAACCATTTAGGCTTTAGGATCGCTGGCGTGTAGATCGGTCGGCCGTTGAACGTTGACAATCTTGCTTCCGCCGCTGTCCAAGTGTCAGTGCTTTATGACATGAGGGGGGAATTGATGAGTTGGGTTGATATTGCCCCCCGCTGTATTGCACAGCAACCGCAGACGTAAGGTTAAAGTAAGGCGGCCTAGAAGCGCCGAAATGGTGGAGGGCTTACTGCGGCGCTTCATACCAATCGGGAGCTAGCATCCTAAAAATACAAATATTCACATTACAGACGCTGGGGGATTCTGGAAGAAACTGCGTTAGAACTTACGGGCTCGTGCACGCGAAGTAAATTTCTGCCAAGGCGGAAGGAGGAAGCAGCTGAGCATTACTATTTGTGGAAAGGCAAGGTGACACAATATCATGTGACCGGTGACTCTACGCGTTCTGTCTCTCCGCGGCTCTTGCCGCGGCCGCCACACTTCCAGGCTTCAGCCTTTGTGCGACTTTCGCGCGACCGTCGTTGGCATGTAACCTGTCTATACCCATCATGAAGCTCAGATATCCCAAAGTTCACGGTAGGGAATTTATATTATACATTTCTATGGCTTCTGCTCACCATTCAAGCAGGTTTCCAGCTTGTGCAGCAAATTGGCGGGGGCGGTTTCTCTACGTGAGCTGTAATTCCGTTCGTTCTACAGCCCTGTGCGCAAATCTCCGTACTTTTTTCGGGAAAAAAAGCATGGAAGCGTTTTCAGATGCATGCTTCCATTCACTACTGAGTTCAGGACGCGGCCGCAAGGTCGCTAACTCCGCAAACTATCTCAAACTTCAATGCCTGCTGTATAGAATTCAATTGACTAACCGTAATTTTGATCTTAGCGTGTTCCGTGCCGTTCACATCGAGGATCACCGTGTTGCCGCTTGCAAAGTTGTCGCGCTGACTACCGAGACAACGCCGACGGAACGAAAGAACCTCAGCAAGGAAATGCGCGTGCATACCGCTCTCAAGCATCGGAATGTCCTCGAATTTTTCAACGCCGTTCAGGTTGAGCCGGACCAGGACTTGCCGTACCATCCTGGGATCTACATGTTATTGGAGCTCGCCGCGGGAGGTGACCTGTTTGACAAGATAGGTGTGTTCGGCGGTCGGAACGTTACACCTAGACCTGACACAGCCACCGCATAGCTCCCGATATTGGTATAAGTGAAGAACTTGCACATTACTATTTCACGCAAATGATGGCCGGTTTGGTGAGCATACATCTGAGACCTCTCATTTCGACGTCCTAACACTTGAGCGATGAAGGACTACATTCACGGCGAGGGGGTCTGCCATCGGGATCTCAAGCCAGAAAATCTGCTTCTCGATGCTGCCGGAACTCTTAAAATATCAGATTTTGGACTTTGTACCGTCTACAAGCTCAAAGAGACTGGAAAAACCAGATTATTGACAGAACGCTGTGGGAGTTTGCCTTACATGGCCCCAGAGGTAAGAGAGAGCATTTTCTTGCGTGATCTTTGTTCCATACCACGTGGCCATCTCAGATGAAAGGGAACAATGATCCATACGAGGCTGTGTCTATTGATATGTGGGGCGCTGGCGTCATTTTGTTCGCCATGCTTGCTGGCAGTCAGTACCTTCTGCAGTATTTCTTCGCCATTTTTACCCGAGCTCTTACTCTCAGATACGCCGTGGGATGAACCGACGAGACGTAGCTATGAATTTTCGCGCTACCTCTCTGGCCACTGCTTCGACGAGGATCCGTGGAATCGGTTTAGCAACAGCGTATTATGTTAGTAGCCTTACCTCCATAGTGCTTTACATTGGATAACCTGGATATCCCATAGCCCTCTTGACAGGCATGCTAGCTGTCGATTCGTCGCGCAGAATGACCCCGGCTGAGATTCGGGGGCATCCTTGGATGATTCGGTACGTGGATGTCGGTTGGCACGGATCGTGACTACGCGAATTTAACATGTCACAGCCCAAGTCAGATCGCGAGCCGGGGACTATCCTCGCTCGCATCCTCGCTCACAGAATCGCTCCGTCAGACGGGCGATCTAGCAATTGCTTCCCCAGATATCGCCTTGTACGTCGAAAATATTTTATATTTCTTCTTCTGGTCAATACTAATTTGCACAGATACGTGGACGGCGACGGCGATCAGATCATGGGGACTGCTTCGCACAATACGCAGTTCACACAGACACTGATGCTTTTTGTGCGTACAAGTGGTGTTCCTTCTTCGTATATGCTGCTGAGACGGCTGTCTAGTCGCAAACACAGGGCGGCACACGGTACACCCCGCACCTCACACGTTTCTATGCGAAGCTCGGGCCGCATATTATGCTACCGCTCATAGAAGAAGCTCTCACTAATCTCGGCGTGAAGTGGAAATCGGCCGTCGAAGTGGACGTAGTGCAGAGCAGCGGTGTGACAAAGGTCCTACGCATGAGGATAGGCGGGTATGATAAGCGCAAGCTGCTGTACAAGGGCTGGGTAGAGCTCGAGCATTTCAGTCGTGGTGAAACTGAGGGCACCTACTGCCTCATGCAACGCGATCAGGTGCGTCAATATCAGCTTTGAAGCCGTTGGTTCTCACTCCCCTTTCCCTCAGGGAAATCCTATATCCTGGAGACAGCTGTGGCGAGATGTCTGTCAATCTTCTACTGTATGGCCTCACATTTACAAGAATCCGCGTTACGAAGATGCTTAGTAGCCAGGGAGATACGAACACAATCTAGTCACTGATCATACGGACAAGAGGGGTGTAAAATTACATGTACGGCTTGAGATCTTTGTAGCTTTAAGTACACATTATTGTACATAAGGATTGCGACCAACGCATAGATTGAAATTATGGGGAAAGGGGTATAGTAGATACATAGTAAGTTACATAGTGTTGTGGTGTGAAATGAGCGCTACATAATGAATTCGCGAGTCGTGTCCTAAAAGTCGATGAGTACTCGCGGCGAAGTTACGTAGCTCGCAAACACATACGATATGGTGTGAAGCAGAGAGTTGTGGCTTCTGACTATAATGTTTCTTGAGAATAGATCTAAGGCGAATCAACGAAAAGGAATTCACTGAAAACGGACCTCACGCACCGTATTGATCCTAAAAGTTGTTGATACGACTGCTGAGGCTTATCGGCTGCATTGATTCAGCGATCACAGAAGCGTCGAAAAGGGAAATGACGCACTAAGAGACTTCATGAATGCCTGTGATGGATGATAGAGAGCACGCTACATTCAGGGACACGAACAGCAACAGAGTACGACACGTACATAGCTCATCGCTCCAACTGCAGCACCTGCCTCCCAAGTGTCTGCACTTGTTTGAGAATCCATACAGCCACTCCACGAGATCTGCGATTTATTACAATGGGCGGGGTTGAATTTCAACAGTGTGTTAGCATCGCTCACGACGTCCGCATCCGTGTACTTCTCCTTCCAATGACTTGGCGTCACTTCGCTATGTCCTCTTTCTCGGCCCGTTGTTTGGTACTAAGCGCCAAGGTTGTCATGATTATCAGAAAGCCGTGTTACGCACAGTCTGTGTTACTTACAACATACGGCAGATCTGCGCGATGTTATAAATTTGCAAAAAATCGAAAAGAGGTGACACGTACCCAACGCAGAACCAGAATGGCAAGACTAATAGCCATGTTTACTCTCAGTGTAACTAAACAAGTAACGAACTTACGTCGAACAGTGCCTTGAACCGAATGCTCAATCAGTACGCACTTTACGACGCGTACACGGAACATACCGTTAGACGGCAACCTCGCGGTAAATGTTTGACCTGATATACAAATATGTTAGTAAGTCCGAGCATGCTTCAGAGCTGTCTCGAGTACCATAATCTTATGCATTTCCTGGAAGCGATAGCTTGGCATCAGAAAAAGTAAATGAAGGGAAAGCATCACAACGTACGTCATCCACTATATGGCCTGTCCATTTGTAATCCACAGGAAAGATGACTTATCCCATTTGAGCATGGAAAATGCTGAAGGTTATGGTTACGACAGGTGCATACCTTCATCGAGGCCGTCGACTTCGTCTCCATCCAGGTCCTTCGTCTGGCCTCCATGGCCCGAATCTGTGCAATGGGGCATAAGTTGAAATGCCATATATCCCGGGAATCTCCTACTCATACACACAATGGAAAACCAATGAATCGTGCCGCTTGGCATCCTTCACGAGCCAATGCATCGCGTCGATAATGTTCGCCCGCGTGGGTTGGTGATGGGGGTTAGATGAGTCATCGGTGAGCATGAAAATATTCTCCGCCTTGTAGTCGAAGCGTTCTGAATGTCGCGGCAATGTGGATAGAGCTCTACATCTCAAGGGCTTTATACATGGCTCACTAATCAGAAATTTCTTCACATTCTTCGCGTCGTTCACGCAGCCGTGGAGCTCCCTTTTCTGGCCCCTGTAATTGATTCCAATCTGTGAAGAAAGTCGGGCGAGGATGACGAACTTCATTTAGCTGACTTGATGGACATTATGGTGGTACTCACACACAACGCTTTCTTTGTCCCTGTACATTTCGAGTACCTGGGCTTGATCAGGGTAGCTGGACGCTGTGGTCGCTGAGGAAGGCTCTTTGTTGTCTGTATGGGAGCCAGTTGCGGCCTCGGCGCTGATATACCGCATATTTCATTAAATTGATTACGGTACTGGCATAGATAGCACACACGATATTCATTCCTAGGGTGTCTCTGGCTATGGCGCGAACGTTTCACGCGCTCAAGGTGTATGTGGTGGCTGGTAAAATGATGGTGCGTATGGATGGTCGTAGCGGGCCTTCGAGGTACGGGCCCTTGATGGTCTAGCGCGCGGCTCCTAGAATGCAGTTGGAGATCAAACCACATATTGATCCATTCTGGAGAAGTTATGGCTTACGATGATCCGGCATAACAGCTAGCAGCATGGGAGCGTGGACAGTCAGCGACTAGGATTGAGTTTAAAGGCGCTAGTGTCCGGGCTTACGGAGAGTATGACTGCATCGCGTATGGATTGGGCGTCCCGAAGTAATACGGGAAAGGCAGTGGCGGCGCCACTGAACCGAATGGAACCTGCCTATGTTGTGATGTGCTCAGAGAGCGGGAGAATGGACGCGATTCATGGAACGCACGATCCAAATGCGCTGAGTTGAATCAGACATAGGTCGAGAATATCATACAACTACTTACAATGGCGTTTGGAAATATGATGGTGCTTGAAAATAGGACGGCGCTTCGGAGAAGGGGCTCAACAATGGACTTGGACGCGACTCAGACTTTCTACTAAAGCCCCACATAGTATAGTCCAGTAAATCACACAAGTGTGTAAAGGTCTCGCGGGAAAGAGGGTTGCACTCGGAGGTGCGACGTTTCAAGGCTCATCTATATAGTACCGCCTCAAGCGCTCCTGTGGCCCGCGTCCTAGCGGGAATGGGCGGTCCTAACTCTTGAGTATGCGCTACGGAATCGAGTCATAGGAGCGACGCCGCACATACCAGTCTGTCTTGGCCTCCGTACGGCCGGACGGCGGTGTGGCACATTCGGTTTGAGGAAGCTGGAATGTAGAGCTAACATGCCACGACAGCAGACAGCCTACCCAATCCGACCAGTGAAGTTCCGAAGGGGATATCTCGCGCGGCCTAGCCAACAATGCCAAGTCCATATACCGCCCTCATGCTGGTGTAGAGCGCCGAAGTACCAGATATAAGATCTACCCTGGGAATGTCACTGGAAGACTCCTAGCTCGACCACACAGATGACACTCGGATGAGAGGAATCATCAGGATCAAGGCTACTTGAACCGACTCAGGCGGACAAAGTGGGACTTGTAGCAGGTGAGTGCGGTAATGTGCATGCGTGCTTCGCAATCAGACACGCCCATAAAAGGCAGCTTTCAAAATACAGTCAAGTGAGGTGTAAATTTTCTATTCACACAAATTACTTGATTCTCCGTCAAAATATCAGGGTACTGGTTCAAAAACGCGATGAGACATACCTATTAAAGTAGATCTTGGCTATCCACTTCTCGATGGCACGTCTACAATGAGACAATAGTAAGAACAGATGGAATTGATATGTAAGCGACCAGCGCTGTGAATTTGATCGTGCTGGAATTATAGATCCAGGACTATCTACAAGAGGCCACAAATAGGATCAGTAGAAATCGAATGAGGGTTCAGATGGGGCACGTACCTTTGACATCTCCTTGTCGACCCTCTTTGCAAGCACTTGATTGAAGTGTTGAATTGATGCAACATAGACAAGTAGCACTCGGGGCATTCAGGGTTGTTCGTTGAGTATTTTCCAGACCCTAGCAACTTGTCGTCCAGTAGCCTCGCACCACACGGTGTTAGCTTCAGCACATCCATGCATCGTGAGCGGTAGCTCTCTATATCTAGGGCTAAAGGGATGAATGTGTCCAGATGGTAATCGAGACCACCGGATACGAATTCTCTCAGATTGGCTTGATCATCAAGGTACTCGAGCAAAGCCTCGCCAGACGCACTAACACAGGCCTCGCGATAATGCATCAATGCATACAATGAAGATGCTGGAATATCCTCCAGACCTTTCGTGTTCTTCTTCAGGGGGAATAGCCGGTATCGCAAGGACTGCTTGGCGGCGGCGCGTACTCTTCCATAGAGGTTTCTTCCCGGGGTAGCATATCCGGAGGAGCTTGTCAAGAGTCGATGAGGTTTCTAGGGACGTCATCGCTCATGGCAGAGTCGACCCAATGGGGCGTCGGTTGAGGAAGGGTGAACATGGTGTCAAAGAACCGGGAGGCCTATGCAAGAATGACTTTATAGTGGAAGTCGACTCCGTCGGACGATTTCAGAATGATATCCGCGCCGCTCTTGTCGAATAGAGACTCGGCCACGACCATCAGACTAGTCGCAGAAGTCAATCGAAAGGTTCACTGCTGCTCCACGCAACTTACGATGCGAAGGACTAGGTGAAGGCAAGGAAGAGAAAAGCTCAGTCTGGATTTGTTTCAGAGTGGTAATTAGTAAGCGTATCATCAATTAATGTTCACGAGAAGCGCGACCAATGGTGGCACTGGATTTGCTCGATTCTGGAGAGCCGGCTGCCGCTTGCGCATTCAAGAGGGATCCTCCATTTTCGTCGAAGTGCGTCCTGTCCTGTTGCGACGCACAATGTTGGGTTTCTCATGCACAGTTTCCAGGTTGACACTTGATCAATCCTGCTTGTTTTCTTGCAAGTGTATGATGTCCCAAGTCGCCTCTTGTTCATACGTTTGGTATTCAAGCTGTACAACCACTATGCATCAACCATTCGGGCCCAGTACCAGAGCCTGTCACTTGAGTCTCCGTGCGTAGGTTCAAGTACAGAATGAGAGGTATTAGAAACAAGACCGACATCAAAAATTATTACGTCTAGTCACAATTTAGTGGTACTGATGATGTCGTGCGTACTCGGTCGAAGATGGGGAGGGCGCACATCAGGCATACGGAGGACAGGTGAGAGCTAGCGGCGATGTTGCGGATTCGCTCACTCCAAAACTCTGATTCAGACTACGGGAACACGTCGTAGCAACATCACAAGCTAATCCAGACGGACCGCAGCTTGACCTTCATATGCACCTACTTGGCTAGTCTCATACCCAGATGTATCCGTAACTGCCGCTGCCACGGAATTTTATCTGTTGGACGAGTCACGAAAACCCATCCTTTCGAGCTGCATAGTAATCTCAATTACTGTCACTTCCTCCTTAATACGTTACACATATCCTTGGCACATAACTTAGTGTCAAGACAAAGGATGCACGTTAAGCGAAAGATCCGTCCAAACATCTCAAATGTCTTGCTTTGGTATTGGTTGATTTCGTCCGCCATATCTGATTTCAGCTATGCAACGTTAGCTTCCAGTCGTGAATGGATGGGGATGCGTACTCTATGTGCAAGATCGAAAATATTATTGGACACTTCGCGCACTGCGGCCAAACTGACCATTCGGATTTGGTGAGCGCAGAAGACCAATCCGACACATGAGTGGACGCAGGGCTAACAATGACTCTCACTTCCTTGTGATCTTCGCCTGCTCGGCGTGCTAAGCCTTCCGAACTCTGAAGCATCAGCGTGCAACATCCTACCTTCCACAGCAAGGAGACCTTTGCCTGCCTAGGTAGACAGTGTCGAACACCGCACAAGACTATCTGCACGAAGCATCCATCCACGAATTGGCGGGGGGGATGCAATCTTAGACAGCTATGAATGGGGAAATATTCTTACTTCAAGAGATGGAAGCAAGGACCAGAATGATGTGTGTGAACGAAATCACTTAGGAATGGAAAAGGAGGCCGCAGGAGAGGCGTAGCCGTTGAATGTTTAAAGCAAATTTATCCGAGCATTTGGTCTACGCTGGTCCTCTAACTTGGGAAAATTCAGGGGAAGCCCTCCGAGTCGCCGAATCGCTCAATTCAAACTGGTTAATCGGATTAGGGTTTTAGACTCTTGGACACCTCGCGTACCTTAAGCGGTAAGCTTGCTCATTGGTCCGGTAAGCACTTTGAATAGGGCAATAAGCGGACACTTGCCTGTGCATGCCTGGGCATGGATTCAAAATCCCAATAGCGATGCCACGCTAATGAAAGGTGTCTCCGCAACGACATCTGCCCTGCTTAATCACCTCCCAAAAGTCAACTTCGCTGTGCTACTAGTTTTTCGGAGGGTATCAACACTACAGGATGTTGCGAGAGACGGTAACAGTTCGAGCGAGAGAGGCAAAGAGCGAATTATCTTAGGAGCTGGTACGTAGTCGTCTTAAGTATAGATGCGTTTGGATCCGCCTTGGCTAACTACCTAACTAGGCGTGTCCGCGTTGTATCCGCCTGACTGCGGCTGGGTCTCCCAGATGCCCTCGGGTTGCCCGACTCCACCGTTCTCAACACAGGAAGCTCGTGCTGAGTTCCTACGCCCGCTGGAAAATTACGTCCTGCCTCATGTCTCGTGTGCGCAAGGCCAAGGACACTGGGGAGGACGCCAAGGTCATGCCATCTGTCCTTGAGCCTGGCAACGGCGGCAACATCAATCTCGATGATCTTGGACTGGAGAAGAACCGTGGCGTTAACGTTGCTCAGAACCGCTTTGACTACGATGTCATACATTGACCTCATGCTTGAGGTGCGCACCATGTCTTCGACTTTCCTTGGGCCCTCAAGTTCGACATAGCGACCTTCACCTCAGAAAGCTCATAGCATGGCTGAGTCCAGAACGAATCCGAGTGAATTATTGACGATAAATGATGGAGTACATTCGCGTATTATCCCCAGCAGGATGAATGCATCGTTCAGTGCTTGTTATGCCATAAATGGGGGAAATTGTGTTGTGCTAATCTGGGTCAAACCACTGCATGTCACCGGTGTTCGGAAGCCAGGTAGACAAAAGACCGACGCTGCCAATACCAGTCTTCGTCTCTTTGGAAGCTCCTGCTCTGAGTCGATTTTTGTCAGATGGGTATTGTATTCCGCAACGACGAGGCCTACCTCGTTGCTGGCTGGGTGGAGTCTTACCTGTGGGGTCCATATCATTCAGATTTCAATGTTTGTTGGTTGTGCGTTCTAACATTTGTCATATGCAGGACTCTATACGATCGTATTCGGTATAACCATGTACAAGATTCGCCTGAAAGGCTGGAAGAAAATGAACAAGGTGACCGCCGGGACTATCATCGTTCTGTGAGCCATGTGCTTCTTCGGTAGTCTTTCACTAAGTTTCTTCGCTCGAAGCTATGTTCTCGCAACTGCCCATAATGCAATGGCTCTAAGGCTGCTCATCAATGGATTCATAGTCTATGTACAAGACCCAGGGCCTCAAGTCTACTTCGCAAACATCGTCGTCCCGCTGAATGTCGCCAAAGATGTGGTGTATGTCACAAATGTCAGACAAATCTGCGACAGCAGCATGCATATTTACTGACAACTCTAATGCAGATATGGGTAGGGGACAGTGTCATAGTCTGGCGTCTCTACGTGATCTGGGGAAAGAAGCTCTGGATCGCTGCCTTTCCAGTATGCATGATGATTGCCACTGCAAGTATGTGACCGGCACTTCTGCGCGTACAACAGCTATCAGATCGTCTTGTACAGTCACAGGATATTACGCCATTGGGCGGTGGCTGAACCCTGCCCTGGACTCGACCCACTTGAATTTGGCGTTCTACGAGACCAGCTTTCACTGGGTCACCGCGATGTATGCCGTGTCACTGTGCACAAATGTTAGCGTCACGATTGTTACCGCCACACGGATTTGGTATGTCGGCCGGCGTGCACTGCATAGGTGGATTTAAGACTCATCGTAGTACAGGTGGGTCGGCCATCGCAACACCAAAATTCTTGGGTCGGACACGCACTCCCCGTACTCCCGGGTTATCCTCCTGCTTCTCGAATCAGGCTCAGTGCTCTCAGCTGCGAAAACCATTGAGTTTGCGCTCTTCGAGACCTCCGGAAATGGCTACGGTGGCGACAACTCCGTCTGGATTGTAATCGAGTCTATGCCGCAGATCATGGTCAGTCACCTTTCATGGCCGTTGGACTTCTTTTCTGCAGATATCAACACGTTTGGTGCAGGGAATCATGCCCACCCTTGTCATTCTAGCCGTGAACGCTGGCTTCACGCGCAGGGACGACTTCTACTCCCTTGCGCCCCAAACCCATACCGTGCAGTTTGCGTCGCAGCCCCCGAACACAAACCCCACAATGGGAACGCTGTCAATCAGCGAACGCAGAGAGTCAAATGATGCCTCGGTCGCGCATTCGTTTTACGAGCCGTCCTCGAAAACATTTGCTGATGATAAGTCCGGGGGACAGATGTCTGAACATAGTGCATGACATCTGCATTCTGCATCTACGGCCGTGACACAAGCATGATTCCCGGCATATTGAATAGAACTCAATACTTCGTCCTCGTCGCGCAAGGCGGTGTCGAAGTAGAATAGATTATGAACTCGTGAATACAAACGGACATTATTAGCTACTTAATATACTCGTTCCTTATCTTATTTACTATCTTTCTGAATATGGTAACATGCCATACAATACGTTTTACACTAGCAGTATACCCGTGCTTACGCATTTGGTTCATCATTGATTTCAAGTAACGGTGTACCTAGTGGGCAGTAACGGTGGCAGCCCCTGCCGCGTCCGACCTGCGGTCGGTCGCTTCGAAGCTCCCGTCTACATAGTGCATGGCTACTGCAGATGCTGCAGAAGTTGGGAGAGCGCAAGAGGATACATTTTCTGAGATACATTGAAATAATTGCAAGAAAGATATGATAACGCGCAAATTGAAAGGGTGGGAAGCGGACGGCAGAAGTCGTGTCCAAAACGGGATGTAGGCTGGAAAAGGAAACCATGCTTATTTATAATAGAAGATACAAGGCTGTTGCGAGCCAATTTAATTCATGAAAGGTAGACACGCATACTAAACCACTGCAGAAAGGCGATGAATAGCTCAGGAACGTTCTGTAGCTTGATGTTAAGGTCTTTTTGGCCCACGGCATCGCAGTAAGCCAAAGATAGTGCGCAAGCCTACGAGTCCATGACAGGAGGCTGCGTGACGGAAAGTCACGTATGTCACGCGTCTATCCTAACTTTCAGTTTGCAGTGGCAATTGATTGTGCTCGCTCATCGCTTCTGGATGCCAATCTGAGGTAACACTAGCATATACCCACCAATATTTTCTTTATGGCTCCACAGGCATCAACTTCTAGCGATGACGAGGCACCAGAAGCATTTACCTTTGGCTCTTCTAAAAAAGCGGCGCAAGATGATCAAATCACCATCCTGAAATTCGAGGCTGCAGAGAAGTCGAAAAAAAAGCAAAAGAATCGCGAGAGAGATCGCGTCCTTAAAGAGCGTGCAGAGCTAGCAAAAGCTAATCTTGCTAGAAAACGGAAGTCGAAGTCGAAAGGGAAAGAAAAGGCGGTGGTAGCTGCGGAAGCAAGCGAGGGGGGAAATGCTGGTGGGCGTAATAACCTTGAGTCTAGAATGGAACGAGCGATGAGAGAGGCCGAAGACGAGTCAGACTTAGACGACAAGACTCATGGCATGGGAGCTGGGTCTAGGATAGAAGGCGACGACTCAGATGGAATTGGAGGTGGCTCGGAAGGGGGGGAAGAAGATATAGAGATGAGTGGCGACGACAGAGAGGAGGGGAGTGGCTTGTTGGACAAAGGCTCGTATGAGGACGAAGAAGCTGACGACTCCTTTTCCCAACATTTCACTGTCTCGAATAACCGTTATCTCCCCGACCATCTATTTTCCTCCGCGCTTTCAAAACCCATCCCCAAGCCATCGTCAAAACGAAAGCTGGACTTAGCTGACACGCCCGAACCACCCGCCCTGAGACGAAAACGAGCCAAACATCCGTCTAAAGACATTAATATCGGGTACGTAGATCATCGCTTAATACTCCTGAAAGGGAGGTTAAAGATTTGTAGCTCTCGGACAATCCGCACAATGTCCAGCCCATCACTTGCCGTTCCTTCAGTTACACCCCGAGCTATGGTTCCGCCTCCCAAAGTGAACAGGTTCTTTAAGAAAAGTCTCAATGTAAACGGGAATGCGAACAGTGCGAAGGCGAAAGGATGGGAGCGTAGATCAGGTAAGCTCTTGGAGCTGTTTCGCTTATACCAGGGCTCATCTTGCTTCCCACTTTCAAAGCCAACGTCGGCGTTATGAAGCGCAACGGACCTGCCGCGAGTTTTGTCAGGAATCGATAATCATGAGAGACTGCACACGCCATTCGCCCCTTGTGATGACGCTGATTTACTAGCGTAAGTCGACGATACTAGTTGCAATCTACGGGCTAGCTGCAACCACAATATATCACTGCCCACATCGCTTGTAGATTACTCCGCCTCAATTATTGCATCCATAGGTACACCGTTTCTTCAAGAACTTCACATCGACTCATGATGAGTACCGACTGCCTACCGCATATAACGCAGCCCATTCACATGGAATAATAATATCGGATCAAATGTTGCGGCACGGTGCAATATAATGAGGAATGGATCATCTATTCGATCTACGAAGAGATACATTTGCTCATTTTAGAAACATTGAGGCTATACAGATCGTGTGGCATAGGGAAACGGATGCTAATCGCGTCTCGCGCAAGAAACGGACAACGCCCTTCCCTATCAGAAAGCAGAAATCGTGAAATATCAAGACAACAAACCGGGAAGGGGGATGGAAGACACGGAGAATATGTCGTGAGCGTGCTTGTCGTAAGTAGTTCGAATCGTGAGCTAGGATCATCGAACGGAACGGCGTCAGCGTAGTATACTCGTCAGGACACGTTAGTAGATTCGTCAAGAACTTGAAGCAAATGCAATTTCAGTAGATGGGGGCAATTGCAATGAGATGAGATGCGTGCGTGTGCGTTCGATGAGAGCTGAAGTGTGATGTGTAGGAGATGGAGCATAGGGCAATAAGCATAGCATACTGAGACATTGACCTCCACCATGTGCCTCTGGCCAACGAGCATCCAGAGGGGCCACGGCCTGGAAGACGAGATCAGAGTGGATTTGGTTTAGAATGATTTATCGTGCAGAGGCAAGGCCACGAGCTGGGGTTGGTCGGCCACGAGGACGAGGGCGATTGATCCTAAGGGTCTCAGAGGGGCTGCGAACAGAGTGAGCAAGAGTGAGAGATCATAGATAAAGCATACATACGTGATTAACATTCCTTGGCTGATGTTCTCTTTCTGATCGCTAGAGGAAGACTTTCCTGTGCTGCGTTTCGACCAGCCGAGAGCGGTTCTGCGAGCGCTTGAAGTAACCCTTGGGCGTATGGGAAGCGGGGGCAGCGGCGGTAGTGGTGGCAGATGAACGTTAGCCTTACCGTGCTTAGACGCGTCGAAGTCCACAGAAAATGGAGTGAACGGTTTGATAGCATCCAAAGCTGGCGGCGGTGACAAGACGTTACCAGTATTGGCGTTGACGGACACCTCCCGAAGTACAGGCTGGATTGTCGCTGAGGACTGCACGCTTGGTGGTGACGGAACACATCCCATGGGCGATGACCTTGGCTTATCAGGTGACATAGACGCACGGACGCTGCAAAGGGGATACGGCGACGCTCTTGACGACGTGCGGGATCGCACACGATGAGGGCGAAGCTCGGACGGCAGAGGACCGTAGTTCTTCTGTGAATGTTCCAACATCGCCTGCATACCTCCTCGATTCCGAGGCGGACGGAACGCTATAACGATTCTGTTAGCGATCAATAATATGAACTGGTGCAGTCACTTACATTGAACGGCAAAGACCGAGAATGGAGTATCTGCCCAGATGCGTTGACTTTCAGTGACCGTTTCGTGCGCCTCGTCGCGGAGTGTATAATATCTGCGCAAGGTCGTAATGCCATGCTCATTGTCCCAGTCACCCATGATCGACTCGCTGTCGCCGTCTACAATGATCACAGAATCACAAGTGGGAGGTGACGCAGCGAGCTTTGACGCCTCCGGCATCAAGACTTTCACAGGTGAGGGAGAGCCTGAGACAGACGATTCTTCCTGGATTGTCTCATAAACAGACGATCGCGAAGCACGAGCCTGTGAGATTCTACGACGATGACCCGTCCCACGCGCCCGAGCTCTTGCTCTAGCTCTAGCGACACCGCTACTCGGGAAAGTTGTATTAAGCAGGAGGGTGTTGAGGTGCCCAATGTCGATGCTGGACTGAGAACCGCTGGACAGCGATGATCCATCCGAGCTTGAAAGAGGGGGCGTCTCCCCGCCCGAGCTCGTGGTCACTGTACTTGAGCGAGAGCGAGAGGCTGGTGTAGGCCGCGAGAATATAGATTGAGAACGTACTTCAATGCAGAATCTAATTAGCCTAGAAACATATGACAGAAAAACTTTACGTACGCGACTCCAAGAGATCCTCACCATGAGCAATCAGTGCACTGTCCTCGAGGCTCTGCCGTTCCAATAAACCCTTGCGTGCCATGATCATGCGTTCTCCACCGAATTGCTGAGAAGATGTTGACGCTATGGATGGCTTCTCTATCAGTCTGCTCTTATTCGGAGAATCGACAGATGAGACATCCTCTTGCTGGAATTGAAGAACCGCCTGAGGGAGCTGACCCACAGGACGCCTCATCTTACCTACTCTTGCACAAGGCGAGCCACCGATCATAGAGTTGACAGAAAGGCGGCGTACATGTCCACCGTCCAACATCTGTGTACCGCGTCAGAAATGAGGAAGTCGATCAGATCAATTAATACTTACTGTAATCATAGTGTCATCATCCTTGCGGGGACTATGGGCGCTGGCCTCGCTCATCACAGAAAGAGGTCGGAATTGGCGGGTAGGCAGCTCTTGGGCATATTGTGAGTATGGCCCATCGAACCCGAACACTGAATCCGAGGACATGGAAGTTCGGTAATCGGTCTTCTCAAAAAGGGAGTCGTTCACTGAAGAACGTCTGCCGTCGTCAATGAAAGAATCCCAAGAGGCCCGACTGCGGAGATCATCAACGACGCTTTCAGGAGGGGAAGCCGAGATTGCTGTGAGTGGTACACCATGCTCGTTGTCGAACATTTTATCTCCAAGTCCGGGACGCGCAAGCCGTGATGCAGAATATTCGCTCCAAGTAGAGTCAATGGAAGGATCCTGACGATGACGAGCCCATACCGCACGTCCTCCATGAGCACCGTACATTGCATAGGAGTGAGCCATGGAGCTAGCACTGGTATTAGAGTCGTTACGTCTGTGTGCGCCAAAGCTTCGATTATACAGGCTCACAGGCGGCGCATTGGAAGCCACCGACATTCCAGACTCCAGCCGACGGTGACCACGTCGATTCGAATGAGACATTTGGCTAGCAGCGTTGAAGTAGAAGCTCGAAGCGTCACTGTCGACCCGTTGACGACGGCCTCTGTGAATGAACGAAAACGTGTCGTCTACAGACATGGACACCGAGACAGACATGTCTACGGAAGGAGGCCGACTAGCTCCATACCCAAAAGGATCCATTGAGCCAGAGTTAATGACATCACCATAGGATGAGACAGACGCGATGCTGAACATAGACTGTTCCCTCCAGTGAGAGGGTCGAGAGGGTCGCGAGATTGCACCGGGCGGCGGATAGAACGTAGGCCTATTGGGCCCGAATTCGAAACCTCGCCTAATCTCGTCGAAAGACTCCAAGCCCGCAAAACTGAGCTCAGACGAACGCCTCGAGTGGCTTCCATGCGACCCGTTTGAATAGGAGACGTCAGGGAGGCCATGAGTGCTGCGCCGGGAGCTGCAATCTGAAAGGGCACGTCGGCGGGGAACGGGAGGAACATCCACAGGAGAGACATCAACTGCTTTAGCCAGGATCGACTTGAGAACCGAGCTGTCCTCCTCGATTATGGACGACCGTGAGGTCGAACGAGCATGGAACAGAGGTGGAATGATGTCAGTCAGCGTCAACGGCTTCTCCTGGACCTCTTCAACAGTCTGAGGAATGCCACCGAACTTGAAGTCGACGTTCAGTTGCCCGTCCGACGCCTTGGAACACATGGATCCTGATCTCTTTGATATGGGATATATTCTGCATTCGTCTTCTTCTGTACTTTCGTGCAGAGCAAAAGGCATGTCCTCAGAAACGCACGAGTCTCTATACATGGGGTTGCTAGAATTATCGTAGAACGTGTTGCCCTCCGCAAAGTTTGATACACTTCGTGGTGCAACTTCCGACGATGGGGTGGGTCGTAGCACCGCCGGAAGAGCGGGAACAGGAGGCACGGCGAGGAAACCACTGTTGAGACCAAGTTGTTCGCCCAAGTCATAGCCAAGTTCGACTCTTGCCGGCGTACGGAATGCATTCTCTAGCTGCTCCACAAAGCTGCGCCTGTCTGACGCACCAGACTCGTTGAGCTTCTGAAGCTCCCCAGTGAAGTCGAAAGATTTCTTGGTATCGTCCTCCGAGGATGAACCGTTTGCACCTTCGTCGATATCCGCATGATTCGCTTCCTCATCGTACAGTTGCAGCGCTGGGATTGATGGTACAGAGTCCATGACTTCAGGCAGAGGATAAGGAAACGAGACTTCGAGAGGGGAGATCGGGGAAGAGGGAGACGAGCTATGGCGAGACGAAAGCGTGTCATCCAAGCGGCGAGTGCAATCATCGTCAGATTGGCCAGACAATATCACCTGTAACTCATCAGGAATGTCGGAGTCGGGGTCTTCTGGATCGACCGGCGGCTCGCTAGACATAGGGCCGCCTAAAGTGCCTGTGAGACCCAAACCCTTCCTTGCTTCTGGCAGGATAGGCATACCGTGATTGGTAGACTTACGAAGACTTTTTTGACTCTTGTTGGTGCTGATACGGAAGACGGGGGTAGGCGAGGGTGCAGCGTCGTTCTCATCTGTTGATATTTTCAACCCAACTTTGGATGGCCTCGACCCGAACGTCGCTGATGAAGGGGCTGCGTTATCGCCGTTGTTAACAGGTGGGGTAGACAGACGCAGAGGGGGAGAAGTTGCAACAACTGGAGGCGCCTTCGCCTTCGCAGGTCGTAACGGCTGAAATACGAACGGAAGGTCCAGTGTCGGTGTCGGTGTGAGCGTGCGCTTATGCGTCGGACGATCTGCCACGGTGCTTGTCCTCCCCTTCTTCGGTGACACTTGCCAATTGAGCTCGGACCAAGGCGCAATTTGCTGGCCAATGAGGCGCTTGGGATCAGTGGGCTGTTGAGTGGTAGCAGAGACTGATCGCTGCGCCTGAGCGTAGGGACGAAGCGATTGAATAGATGCCATACTTCCCCGGAGCTCCAACTTTAAAGGACTGTCGCCGATCGCTCGCTTCTTGAGAGGGCTCTCCTCGGCATCGCGGTGAATGGGAGACCGCTGGAAGGGTGATGCAGTAGTACTTCCCGGCGTAGCTTCCAAATCCAACCGATTAATGAGAGAAGCAAGATCATTTGTAGCTGCATCAAGAATAGAGAGCACCCCCGACCCTGTAGGTCAATCAGTACACATTACGCAGAATAAGGGGAGATGCATACCATCAGCATCATCACATATTGGTTGCGGCCTGGTCCTGCCCAGCATTTGTTCGGACACAGGACGAGGGCGGTTACGCTTGGCCGGTGTCTCCGTCGAATGCGTCTCACTACCATCCGAATGTCCATCGGCTGTTGCTTCTTCAACATGCACAATAGGGCCTTCAATCATCGATGCAGGTGGAGACAATGACGCAGGCCGGGCAGTCTGGGTCTCAGGGAAGATCTCAGAGATCGCGGTGCGCTTTCGCGCCTCCGACGACCGTCTGCTGTCTTTTCCAGCGCGAGCGGTCTTGCCATCTTCTCGGCTTCGACGTTCCTTCCTCTGCAGCTCCTTGGAAGATCGCAGGCCTTCCTCGTCCCAGCGCACAGACGCTACTGAGCTCGAGGACGAGCGCCCCGTGCGTTCCGAAAACATAGATCCACCCGACGCCGTGGACGGTGGCCGGAGAGACGAGCCATTGGACATTATTGACGTCGGCCGGCCCTGTGCGTTCATGATTAGATGTGCGGAATCAACAGACAAACGCGACGGAGCCTGAGGCCTGTCCACAAACGCGGATGCGGACGACGACGATGATACAGGACGGACAGCGGTGAGTCGCATCGTCGACGGCAATCCAAGTCCTAGAACACTTTGCTTCTTCCTCCCGAGCGTCTTCGTGGAGCCCTCCATGGGCGCAGGCAACGGACTGCCCTGCGCACTCAATGCACCAGCTTCAAAGCTGCTACCAGACCACCTCACCGTCCTCTCCTTCTCTCCTTTCTTAACCTTGTCTTCTTTTTTGTCTTTTTTCTTCTTTTTCTTCGTCTCGCCTTTCTCCTTCTCCTTCGTCTTCATCGTCTGCAAGGGTTCGGGCTCTTTCTCGCCGTTGTTTGTCAGCTGCGCCCAGCTAGCCATGTGTGCCAAAGATCGCATCGACTTGATCGCGCGAACAGCGATTGAACCTATGGGAGGATTGGCATCAGGAGCAAGCAATCCGTTGGCGGTCTGAGGTGCAGTCTCGATGGGTGAAACAAGAGGAATGGGTAGTTGGGAGGAAGAAATGCTATCGCAGCGTGCTTCCCGAGGGATACTGCTGGACAGCATTATGCCAGAATCGAGAGAATTGAAACGGGCACGCGAGTCAAGAGATTTGACAGGCTCAGGAGCTGCAGGGAATTATTAGCACTTAAACCTAGCAAAGGTGACCCACATACTCTTCGAACGGATAGACGGATTGTCATTCTCCTTGTTCTTTCCCTTCGAATCTTTCCTTCCTCGACCGATACTCCACCACTTCTGACTGTCATCCCCCTTCACTTTCAGTAGATGCTCGATGGGCGGCGCCGTTCCCTGCTCCTGAGCTACGGAGGGGACGTTGGTGACTTCGCCGAGCGCACCCCATTTCATGCCGTCCAGCGCAAGTCTGGATTTCTTCTTCTTCACCACCACAATTTCGCCGAAGTCTGGGTCCTCTGCATGATCCACATATATTTCGAAACCACCTCTACCAGTAGAGGCGGTCTCTCCACCAACGCGTCGCACGACATCCGAGAAGTCCTTGTTTGGCTTCTCCTTGGTCTTGCCGCCGCCACCGAGGAGTCCCAGCTTGGATTTCTTGGGGACTATACGCTTACGTGGTGGTTGCGCATCGGTGCGAGGAGCAAGGGGTGATGAGGCAAATGGAGCAACGGCTGAAAACGATGTGCTAGCGTCAGATGCTGAACCAACCGCAGATGGCGTAGCAGAGATGAGACGAATGGTGGGGACTGTATGCGGGGGTGTTTCTTTAGACGGACCTGACTGTCCAGATGGCATGGGAGACGATGACGCGGGAGCTGGAGCGCGAGACAAGATAGGTAAAGTACTTCGCATCTTGCTTGTTCTTGTTCTTGTTCTTGAGAGTCGTCGTGAGTGTTGTTCGAGAGAGTACAAAAACGTAACCCGTCGTTACTAAAACAATTTTGAGGAAATATGAGGAAATAAAGAGAAGAAAAAATGCGTGAGGTCGTGATACAGCAATGAGATATGTGCAGTCGTGAAACGTGAGATGGCTTCGTCAGTATTCTATGTAACCGAGCGGATTGCGCGGTCAGATCTTGCTCGTTGGTCTCGTCGCGAGATCGTTAATTCAAGATGTCTTCTTACTCCTCGCACTGGATGGATATTGACCACTACCAATCGCATATGAGCAGGCACAACAAAGTGAGGGAAGTATAATTCCATACCTTGCGGTATTGCAAGCCCGTCTTACCAGCCGGTCTCCTCTACCGCACCCCGAACGACGCCCGGAAGATACTAGAACCGGATATGTTCTGTGTATGCAGGCTAGCGGATGCGTCGACGGAGAGCAAGAGACAAGGACCGGACACCAACGCCGGGAAGTCGAACATAGATCAAACACAAGTTATTTGGCTTCGTGGGCGCACTCAGTGACGGTTGGTTCAACCTTGAACCTCGGAAACAATATACCCAAACAACGCGCCGCGTCGCGACGCGTATCTATGGGCCCCGTGATCGCGAATATCGACTTAGCAGTCCAACACTAAAGGACGGCAATCTTTACGAAACGCAGCTTGATGCTTGGAATACCTGGAGGCTTCTGCACACTTCACTCGTGGCTCTCCTCTGGTAAATATTGGCTCAATGATTGTTATACGGGGATTTCAGCGCGCAGGATCATTGTCTCGTTGAACTAATGCGACTCTCGTCGCCCACAGTTGATATTGAACATACAAATGAAGCACACTTTCTCTGTGAATCGCTTCAACGAACTATAGCAGTAATGATGAGAGCCACACCGCATACATACTATTCCTGGAGTCAAACTGCGTGGCCGTAAGTTCTACATGCTTCTAAGCAGGCATCAAACTCGGAATGCCCTTGGCATCTCCCTTCCGCCGAAGTGTAGTGACAGTGGTGGAGTGCTCACTAATATCTTCTTGCCATGGTACCCGTTCCTTCCTCGTATGCCAATCCCACACCTCAACTTGTTTTGATCAACAGTCCCACAACTAGAAGGGCGACATCATATCCTGATAGGCTGACGAATGACGAAAGGCAATAATATTCGACGGATGTCGTATTATTATCAACGTAGACTCAGAATAGAAATTGAATGAAACGTAAGATATTAATTGACACACTACTGTTCTGGTGCTGCAATCAAGAAGTACGTCGCTCCTACTAGCTTCCGTCCATTTTTATCTCCAAATGAGACCGGATCCCATTCCTGCCTTTCCTTGACAGTATCATGATGCACCATGGCGTCTTGAGGCAGCTCGGATGATAGTAGCTCCTGATACAATAAGAAAGCTTTGACGAAGTGGTGAGTATCACTGTCTGGTGCAACAAAAACTGTAGACTAACTATATCTATGTATTCCTGAGCCAGGAAGAGGTTCAGGGGGCATGTAGGATGTTGTAGATACATGCGTCTTCAATGCACTGGGATCCGACGTGCGACTCGCAGAGTGCGCTGGAGACTTCAACCCCATAATCTAGGGTGGTGTCAGAAAGAGCACCCTGACTAAAACACAACACTTGGCACGCACTATCCAGTGCGCAAAGCACCGAAACTTCACGTCCGCCTTTGATGGCATGTCTGGGTCTAGCATAACGAGGGTATATGCAATCTCTTCGCTAGCGCTCTCCCCGGTCGCCTCAGCCTGTTCGAATGGCATGTTCATTGGCACATAATTGATCGCAGGCTCGTCCATGACGTCCTCCTTTGAAAGCTCATTGCCTAAGAGGACTTCTTTGCCATTAGGGAACACTACATCGAGCAGAACCGATGGATTGAATGATTCGGGCAAGACGTCGGGAATGATGTGGTCGCGCTTGAGCGCTGCGACGAGTGAGGTAAGAGGATCCAAGTGAGCCATTGCAAGTCAGTCGTGTACGAGAGTAATGTGTGCGTGCAGCTGGACACGGGAGTGGAGCGCAGAACAAGCTATGACGATAGACCTGATCCGTGGTTAGGGTTCCCTTTCAGTCGGATTCAACGCCGCAGGTACGACGGAGTATTAGCGGTAACTGAAGACGAAAGCATCCTTCCACCTTATGATAGGTAAAGCGATAGAACAGGATTTGAATTTTGTATGCGCGGACATACAGATACACCTTCCGATCACTTCAGAGCAAACACATTCGTAGTCGACACTCATGTAGGGTGCATTACGGTCATCATGCCAGAGTGATTACAAAAGCCTGCATAGATCTTGCAGATCTGCATGTTTTCTGCGTAGGCTGCTAGTCCACCACACGGCAAGTGTGTTCTGCGTGTTAGACACTAACGACGAGGTATGAGAAACAAGCCCGGAAATTATCATAAAGCGCACTGTCAGTGTCAACGTGAATACCTCCTCACTTCTTCCCTACCTGCTCACTTGCCCCCAACAGACTCGCTACCATGCCCGCACCCTCCTGCATGCGTCTATGACGCTCATAAAGCATCTGAATCGCGCGTGAACTCTCTGCCATCAGCTGTTCCTCGCTCGGCGGGTTGGCGAGGTCTGGGGCCTGTATAGGGAGCGCACCAACCCCAGTCTGCCGCAAGATCTCGATAAGAGACTGAAGAGCCTGTTGCAAGGCAGCTGCATCCGCTATGTGATACAGGCCCTTTAAGCACGTTTCCAAATATGGAGCGTGCTCGAGTACTGACCCGCAACTTGCATGGGACTGATGCCCGGGTGATATGCATGCTCGCTGTTACGGTGTGAGTATGTCGAGAACCTTCGGTCGTCTTGGCACATACATTCCCGACAATGTGCTTCTTGCTAAACTTTGCACTCGAGCTACATGCTCCAGAGTAATTTGAATATTCTGTTTGAACGTCTCCGGGGAGTTGGGATCCGCATTGTGCAAACCTTGAAGAGAGGACTGAGCAGAAAATGGCTGGGTAGAAACGAGACCGTTTCCAATATCTGAGTAGCTAAGGCCAGAGAAACTTTGCGAGGAGGCGTAGACTGACGATTGTTGACTAAGTGGTTGATACGAAGGTAGCATGACAAATTGTCCGGGAACAACTTTCACTGACCATCCACAGCTGGAAGTATTCAGATCTCAGACTGAGAGCGGGCTGAAAGAAATGAACTGGAAGAATAAGCGTCGAGAAGCAAGGAAGAGAGTATGATACTCATGCTTAGGTTAAACCAATGTTTCTCACGTGACCTTGCTCGAGGTTTGCCGGCCGATCTCGAAATGTTGGAGGATGAGTATGGGTCACATTTGGGACATTTGCGAGAGACAAAGGAAAGAAAACACGTGAGTAGGAAATATTGCCCAAAATACCACGATTAGGCCTTGGAAAAAGGTCTGGCCAACGCCGGGGTCGAACCGACGACCTTGGCGTTATCAAATACTACGGTTCAAACCCGAAGATATTAGCACCACGCTCTAACCAACTGAGCTAGTCGGCCGATGATCATGGTTACTATTTATGATATAGGAATGCAAACTCTTCGCCTTGCGCCTGCACAAATAGCTGATTCAAGTCAGACACAAATATGTGCGATACATACGATACATTCTGCATGCAATTTACACACATATATTGCAGCATACATACATGAGTGAACCAGTCATGACAATTTGAGAAGAGATACGCGCTCCTCACGAAGTACAAAGAGGATAACGAATCGATGACCATCCGCTTTCCGACGTAGAATAGCCTCCCGGATTTGCGTAACATACGCAGTATGCTGAGATGGTGTACTTGAAAGCAAATTTCTCCAGGCATCCTCATCCAAGACCCAGGTTGTATTCTTGGTCATATCCTCGAATACTTGGAGGGGAAGATCGATCGCCAGCGTCGGCATTCCCGAGACTGCAGCATTCTTGACTTGAACTGCCGCCTCAAATGCTAATGTCAAGAGTGTTCACTGGACAAGCTAATCCCGGGCATTACAAACGACACACCTCTATCCAGGAGTATTTGCTTCACTGACTTGCGCTGTTTCTTCGCATCACTGGGTAGTACCAGCTGCACATCAGAACTGGTTGTAGCTTCCTTGGCGATATATAGATTCTGGGGGCCTTCAGCAATAGCAGGCACGCCGGATATTGAAGAATCTATTCGCTTCTGCTCCAGAAGTAAGTTTTGCAGAGAAGGGACCAACTCTTGTCGGGAAACTACGCAATATAAGCAAGGATGCAATTGATCAATGCACTGACTCACCATCATAATCCGTGCCCCTGATAACGCTCTTCACCTTGAAAGCAGGTAGGTCACGCCGCGCCGACCTCGGTCTCGGATAGACAATGAACCTGTTATTGCGAAGGTAAGCGACGATAATTCTTGATATCATGAACACTTACAGGATCCCTTCCCGATGACATACGTCGACAATGGTCTCATGATCGGACTGGAAGTTGGCCTCGTACATGACATCAGCGCTGATGTTGTGGTGCCAGAGCATGCTTGCGACTTCGAGTCGATCGGCCAAGAGACCAGGCTGATTAGACACGACATACACATCGCATCGACGGGGACTCCAGTACCCAAAAGAACGCTGCTCTTTCAAAAGCGTCTTCACTGACGCGCTCTGGAATGCTGCGAGTGCGAAAGTAATCTTGTCCAATGAAATTTGCACACCAACGGCACATATCCCTTCCGACTTTGGCTTGGGAGGAGACAAACGAGAGATGACATGATCATATCTATATCGATTCAGATTCATGACACGACAGTGCTGTTACATGCAACTTACCGGCCACCAGCTGCAAGTATGTCAGATCGTTTCGTACGACGAACAACTGTGAAACAGACGCCGTCTTTGAAGGATGGGTTACGGCTGTTCATCATGAGCGGATCGAACGAGATCGGCCGCGTAACGCCTAGCGCACTGGCAAACCGAATTGTCTGTTGTATGTCCTTGATGTAGGGACTAATCATGGGTAATAGCCCCGGTGCAGCTTTCTCAATCCTCCCCAGAAGGGCATCGATGTTTTCATCTTCACGACAAGTTAGTAGTTTTCATACTTCTACTAGCGTCGTCCACTTACCCGCATCAGATAAAGCCTCCAATTCGTCGACGGTGTTCCTAGGAATACCTTTGCGCAACAACATGGACCGTTTTTGTGGTTGAGAAGACTTGAGCTGTGTGAGAATTTCGGTTGCCGCTTCGCGCAGCTCGCCAGAGACGCGATCAAGTGCTATATCAAGAACTGGAATCTCTTATGAGCAACGAACGTCAATGACAAAGGGAGCTTGGCGTACTCTGCGAATGTGAGATGTGGATTTCATAAATCTGACCGAGGCCTGCGAAGTTGTTAAGACAGTCGTTGACGATAGCCATAGCTTCAGCAGCCGCAGCACTAGGTCCAAAGTCCAAGTCGGGAGTAATGATATCGAACACTGCTACTTTGGCGACCTTGGGATGTCCTCCAGCATCGCTGAGCTTTTATCAAGACGATACTTCGCCAGTCAAATATAAGCCAAGACTTACTCTGGTTTGAATATATCGCCAATATGGAAGCGCTTGATTCTTCTGGTGTTCTCTCTCGCCGCGAGACGAGCAAAAGGCAGTAGGATGTTATTAGGCAACGCAACAACCTCACCGTGCCTGTCGAGAAAAACAGCTCGATTCTTGTCTTCGTCGGGGCTCGTGATTGGCATCATCAAAGGCGGTTCCATGTTCACTGCCCCATGTAGGCGGAATATCTCCACCATGCGGTCAATCACCTTGCCGTTTAACGTCGCATGTTCGGGTAGTTCCGCTTGAGAGTCGTACAAGAATCCACGGGCCGGTCGGGCCGGCCGATTGAACAGAGAGGAAAGCACAGTTGGCAGATGAGGCGAATCTGGTTTAGCTGAAAATATGAATTGAGTGACCGAACTGGATCGGACATGTAAGGGTTTGGCGACGTACTCATCATCCTGAGAGCGCCTTTGAAATATTCATCCTCCAGGCGTGGCGGAAGTAGGGGACTTTGTGACAATTCCAGAGCGGTTGGACGATCGTTCGGATTGTGCTGCAGAAGCCATGTGATGACTACGTGAAATATTCAGTACGAGTGTAAGTTAGATTACTATACCAAGCCACCCACTTTGTCGTTGCCTGGTTCTGTGTGGCTCCCAGGTAGGCGGGAACAATATACTTGATTTCCGCAGATCTTCAAGCACAGCAATGCGCTCAGCTCCAGTGGAGAACATGTAATTCATCTCAAAAAAGACAACCTACTCAAAGCTATGTTGTGAGGAAAAAGCACGGCTCGCAAGCTGGACTTACACCAAGACTGTACAGATCCGCCTTCGTGTGGTTACGAGGCCCGCCTCTTGATGATTGAACCTCCGGAGCAATATATAGCCTTGTTCCGACGTCTAGAGATATGACCTTAGTCGTATATGTGATCCTCAAGATACAGGGCTACGAACCTAGCGTCATTTCAGCGTCGTTCGATACTGTAGTCGTAACATCTGATGGATCGACAGCGGCGAGACTCGATGTTGCCAAGCCAAAATCGCCGACTGCGCCGAATCAGCAAATCTACTGTTAGCAATTAAAATATCAGCGTACCTTTGCAATCGCCCTTGCCATCTAAAAGAATGAGCAAAAAATCATTTCCAGACTACATATGGCGTACCAATGAAGATATTCGTCAACTTGATGTCGCGGTGTAGCTATGGTCCTGCTGTCAGCAATAACCTGGATGAATCAGATACGAACAGACTAACAATTCCAAGGCTCGACATGTGAACAAGAGCATCAACAACCTGCTGAAACAGGCGCCAAGCGTCTTCTTCAGATATACCTTCTGCAATCCGCTAATTCCACAAGAGTTGAGAGCAAGTTCGAACGTCGTCAGTCAAGCTCGACTGACCTCCTTCAAAGTCTGACGCTCGACAAATTCCTAAGACAGCCTATCATCAATCTTTGCGGTATAGTATACAAGATGTACATACCATCTGAATGTATAACGTCCTAGAGATCGTCGGAGGCGGCGTCGTCGGCCTAGAACTGCTCTTCGGCCCAAACAAGCTACCAAATGCATCATCACTGTCCGAGGTGCCTTCACTGGTTTTCTCGATGGTAGCAGAGCCCGACCGTGTGAAATGAATGCTTGGGAATGAATGTCTGCTGCCCGATCCTAGGTCATCCAGATCTATGCTGAACGGATCTCCAGATCCGTCCCCCTTCATCCCGAAGCCTGACTTTGACTGGGGGACCGAGGTCATGCCATCCTCCGTCTCTGTATCACGATCCGATGCGGACGACGCAGCGGTGGACGCTGGTTCAGCAGTCTCCACCCATGTTGTATAATATCGCACAATGAATCGATGGTTCAAACGGCTTAACGCGTTCACCTCCCTGAAGATCTTATTATCGCTCTGCGTGGCTCGCAACCTGACTTTCTTGACTACGGAACCAGTCAAGCCTGTGTGGAAGGGACAAGGGGTGGTGTCTTACCAGCATATGTCCTGGAATCAATCTTGTTGCGTGCTTTGACAACAGAACCAAATGCACCGCGACCCTACAGTAGCTGTCAGCACACATGATCGACAATCCAATTGACAGTGCTAACGAGTAACTCAAGTTCTTCCCAATCCTCCTTCCACCTACTGGCATGTCGAGGTCTCACAGATGGTGCACGGAAGTAGTCAGTCTCCGGTGAGCCATTGAATGGCTGATACATCGGTGTCTTCGGGCCCGGGGTGCGCGACGGTCCCGGAGTTCTTGTATAAGCCGAGCCTAAAGCCGCCGGGATCAGTAGATATGCTGAAATGAAATGCCTGACTGACCTGGTATGGGGATCGCAGGCGTGCGCGGATTTACGCCTTCAGGTGTATGATTCTGCAAATCCAACAAGAGACCAAGACATGTGACAGGGGTTTTCTTATTTTGCAGCAGCATAACCGTCGCTCTCTGCTGCAACGGTGGTGAGATAGACGCTACCATTGACCATTCAGTAACTCAGATTGCAGAATTGTGACGGTACGCACAATTACGGAGAGCGGATTGCACGTCAGGAAATCGATCCGTGATATCTCGTCCCATAAGCATCTGCACAAACACAATTCCGGCGGCATGTATATCGCGGCTCTTCGTGTATACCAACGGGGAATCGACAGTGTCGCTCGGCAGCCTATGCAGAAGCCATTTGCTCGAGAATACTACATATGTACCAAAACTATACCACTCACCAGCCCTCGGCAATGAGCATCTCGTCAATCTTGGGATCCATGTTGAACCCGAAGGGGTCCGACCTATGAAGATCGAGTAGGCGCACATGGTATCCCACCTTGAACACCTTCACGACCTTAGATAGGCCGCCTTCTTCGTGCGGTGTAAGACCGATGCACTTCAAAGAGAGACCTATAATATAGGTGAGAATGATGTAGCGATATATTGACATAACATACCCCGATGAACGAAGTCGTTTGTGTGCACGACATGCAGAGCAGAGAGAATTTGTCTTAGGTAGTCCTGATTTAATGCTGTCAGCTGGACTTTCTTCCGTTCAGACAAAAATGCATACAGTGGCTTTCCCTTCGCGTAACCAGTCACAATCATCAAGCACGTCCTTAAGCGTCACCGACGGCCGTTGCTCAGTCAAGATCACTAGATGCGGAGATCCACTCGAACTTGGAGTAGTCAATTTGACAGCCAACATCGCCAATAAGTTTGGGTGTCGCACTGTCGTCAGACGCTGAATCTCGCTCTCTAATTGTCTCAACTTCTTCCGACCTACAATAAAGTTTCAATCTCTGCGCCAAGATATATTCCCAAAACTGACCTTGAGTAGTCGTATAATAGTGCGCATGGAACGTGATGGAGAGTAATTCTAGTGGGAGAGTAACATGCGCATCTTCGCATACAGGCTCCGCTTGGTACATCGTTCCTAGACACTCTGATGCAAGTAAGATGAGTTAGTTATCCATCTACCCCGCATCGACGTACCTTGTCGAGGATGGAACAACTTGACTTTGCTAAAGCATACGCCTCGCCATTCTACTTCATGTCCAAGAGTTTCAGTTGGCGTGGTATCCTCCGATGAAGGCATCTCGGTGGCATCCGATATGGCCCTCTTGCGCGCCTGCTGGAATCTCTCTCGCTCGAGCTGTTTACGATACGCATCTGCGCGGATTTCTTCCTCAAGCTCTTGTGCCTGTTGAGCGACGCGTTCCTCCTCGAGCTCCGCCTCTTCTTCCTCTCGAAGTTTTTTTGCCTTTCTCAAAGTCATTCAACTAATGTCGAAGAAAGGCTACTGATATAACTTACCCGCTCTGCTTCAAAGGCCCGCTTGATCATTTCCGTTGCGAGCGAGTCTGTGACCTCCATAGGCGGTACTACATTGGTTGTAATCCAATCTTGTGCAAACGTAACAATTTGGAAGACCATCTCGGCCCCCTTGCTGCGCTGCGCCTCACCATGGATCGCCGCAGTAAGCTTCGCGATTTGCTCCGTCTTCAGGCCTCGAAGAGGTTCTTTGATCGTAAACGTGGGGAATGCTATCGTGGGGTATGTCTTCGGGAATCTGCGCACACGAGTGAATAATACCGTACAATGCCCGAAGGATACCCGCACTAACTTCGTTTGTAGATGGAAATAGATCTTGTCGGCGTGTTCAGGATCAGGGTGGGAAACTTTGATAATAAACTCAGGCAGTCTGGGTGCTCCCTGCACAACCATTAGACGATTAGACGACTGTGACGAGCGGAGGCAAGCTGGAAACAGACGCACCTTCCAAACTTTTGGAGGGGGGCATTCAATAAAGTCATTGTCATATATGCTCTGCACAGATGTCTCTCAGAGGTGCCACGCGTCTCGATCGTCAAGACCACATACCTTCAATGCAGTGATCTCTAGTTGTTGACGCTCCTCTTGGGATTCCATGACGGATGAAGACCAACAAGTAGCTGACTTGTTAAAACTTGAGGAGGGGAGGGCCTTGCGGACCTCAGCAGCTCAAGCCTGCATTGCTGTTGTCGCTGTATGTCGATAAGATGGTGGATAGAAGGAAGGACAAAGCGCAGAAGCGCACACCCTGCCGGGAGTCAGGCAGAGACAAGTGCACGCGCTCAGCGCATTCCAGGGTGAATCGCTCGGCTAACACCACGTTTACCATCTTCGGCTGTCACAATGTCACATCCCATCCGCGCGTTTTGAACTCGACCAACGTTCAGGTTGTTGTCCTTGACCAGCGCGCGCTCTGTTACCAGGCTGCCAGTTGAAGCAGTAAATCAGAAATAAGAAATGCCACTAATTCCGCGGCCGGTAACTCCTTTGTTCAAGGCCACCACGAAAATAGGTACTCACTTGGCGCCATGGCACCTATAACATGCGGCTTTGACACGCCTCCCGGGAATCAGTGACGCTAAGTTGGGAGCAAGGCTAAACAAAGGCTAAGCGGCCTAGAACTTCATACGAGTGCCTGTATTTTGCCATCCGCAAGCTAATTTATATTGGCAGGTCGGAGCTGGTCTAACCGATCCCGAAATATTCAACTCCTCGACGCACGTTTGTCTTTTGATTTTTCCAATCTTCGACACGAGCCACGGTTCCCAGAAGTCGAAAACAAGAGATGAGCGTGGACAATAACGACAGGAACAATAAATAAGTGCGGTGTGTACGCGTCCGACTGGTCGGAGTTTGTACGCAAAGTTGGTGTTGCCTATTACGGAATCTCGCCTTCCATGTTGGGAAGTATGTGATGTCATGGCATCGTACTAAGTACAAGATTGTTGCTCTGCATCGCGCAATCGCATTATCGCAACTTAGAGCTTGGAAGAACTATAGCTTCATATTGGATGCATCTATGTTCTAAATATACAAGCAAGACATACGAAGACAATGTCAATAGTACAGAGGTCGTTGAATCCACGCCAACATCATCCGCGCGCCGAGCATTAATAATGGATAATTGGACTGCTGTTTATCATAGCCTACATCAACTCAATACGAGGATATGCATATCAATAGTCGAATGTCGAAAAATTCCCTATATATGAATGTAGGTAAGTCAGAACTGTTGAAGAATCACACATAGAAACTTACTGTTCTGAAACTTCATAAATCTCACGGGGGGATACTGCTACCAGCTGTCCCAGTCGCCACATCTCCCTTAGCACTTCCGCGAGGTGGAGGTTTGGGAGAAGTGTCAGCCTCTGTACTGCTTGTAGGTATGCCTGAGCGAGCTGGAAGAGGCGGAGCGGCGCTAGTGGTCGCTGTTGCACGAGGAAGAGTCGTTTCTACAGGCGCACTGGTATTTCCCCTTATCTCTGCCATTCCTGCATGCGTTTTCTGAATACCAATATCGGTCTCAGCATGATGACCATCCGTGCCAGTCGCCGCGTCGATGAAGTCCATCGCCCCGCCTCGAAGGGAATCGCCGGCTCCTGTACATAAAGTAGTGAATGTGCGCACGGGGTTGCATGTTTTTTTTATTACTTACCCTCGACTACATTCCATGCGCCCTTCAGCTTGTTTCCTAATGAACGTCCAAGGCTACCTCCGGTGGAATCGCCAGCGTTTGACATTATATGTTTAGAGTTGGAGGGGTCACTGTTATGATGCTTTGTGTGTTCTACTACGACACCTTATATAAACGGACATATCCACCTACCCCACCGCATGACCGTGATAACATCCATGACGTCAATACTAGCAGAGCGAAACTCGATATTAAAGTCGGTAGAACGACCTAAATTCGGTCATAGCATCCCGCAGGCTTTGGGGCGATGTAAGCCAAAGGATAAGATAGTTGAGGCGAGGTGAATAAGTAGGGTCGAAACCGGCTCGAGCGGCGAGCCTCTTGAGGTTATGACTCATAATTGCGATTGTGACAGTGCTTTTGAAATTGAATTGATTTGTCAGCGATCTAGATATCGCAACTACTCATTTTCATTCTGGCGTTGAGTGGCGACAGCTTTCCTGTTAATGGTGGTTTGTCTCTAAGTTTGCATTCGCAGTTGGTGTGAATGACCGTTCTTGCTCCGGCAGCACCTACTGCGTACCTTCCTCCTATCGGCAGGGTCCAGTACCACACTCTCGCCGAGCTCTCCAAAGCTCTTCGCTATCTGCGCCTCATCTACAACCCCGAGGTACGGGGCACCCGCCGTATAAACCGCAAACAGACGTCCAAAGGTTCCGCGTCATGCACCAGCACATTTCCTTCATACACCACCGAGCCTAACACAGAACTCGATGCCCTCCGCGCGGACACATTCGAGCGTGCGTATGCAATTCGCTGGTTGACTGCCTTCGTCGCACAGGCGTATGCTAGGTCCGCGGAAGATCCCGATGGCGAGGCTACTGCAGGATTCAATGCACTCATCCATGATGCAGCTTCGCTACTCGCAATCTGCGCTGGAACCGCCTCCGCCGGGACGCTCACCCGCATGTTCCGCTTCCCGACTGCGTGGGGCTCTGCAGGTACGCAGATTGAGGTGCAGGTCACGGACATTCCCCTAGAGAATCAGGACTACGGCAGCGTCGGTGCGCAGACGTGGGGTAGTGCGTGTATCCTCGCCGAGGCGCTTGCAGAGGACCCGGGCCAGTTCGAGTTGGAGGGGCATGGCGGGGGGCTGCGTGTGTTAGAGCTGGGTGCAGGAACGGGTCTCGTAAGCTTGGTGCTGGCGAAATTACTGGGGACACGGGCGGATGCGTCGGGAGCCTCGGTGGTAGCAACGGATTTCCATCCCTCCATCTTGGCGAACCTGCGGAATAATGTCGCCGCGAATTCTTCCAGTTCTTCGTCTCCCGTCTCTATCGACGTTCATTTTCTCGACTGGGCGCAATTTTCCCCTTCTGGGAGCGAGGCTAGACTGGCTTCATCCCTGCCGGTTCTGAAAGCACCCTTCAACGAGCCGTTCGACCTCATTCTTGGCGCGGATATTATTTATGAACCGGAACATGCGCAGTGGATCAAGAACTGTGTCGAAGCATTGCTACGACGACCCGACACTACTTCAGGGCCTCGCGCGCGTTTTGATCTCGTAATACCTCTCCGACCTACTCACGTCCTGGAATGCAACGCCATTGAGGAGATCTTCCCGTCGGCGGATACGGTGCGCAAGCAAGAATCTTTAAGCATATCACCCGTACTGGCAATCGTGGAAAAGGAAACAATCCTCTGTGAGGCGAGTCGTGACGTCCAGTCTCGGTATAGCGCAACTGAGGAAGTTGAGTATGTTCATTATACTATTGGATGGTGCCTGTGATTTTGTTGGGGGAATTAAGATTGATCAGAGTCATAGATCGTTCATGTGGGTAAACAGTAGATTAGACGTACCAAGATTTAGACTCCTAGGCCCTATATGCTAGAGTTATTTGAACATGACTTAGATGCTATTGTTGGGCATTTGATTGTTGTTCTAGATTCTGTATCTGCTATCTTATTGACCAGTGCGCAAAGTTGTAGCTACACTTCCAAGACTAACATATCCATTTTTTCATGAGACTGAATGCCCAATGAGAGCCTCTACCTCCCTCGACCTCAGCTTTTGGGCAATACAACAGCGAAGGGACATCAAATTACAAATTACAAATAGATACAGACGGAGGTGTTGTCAAGTTACATATACAGAACACGACGCAGGGCTCTGAGCAGCGGACGATTTTGGTAAATCAATTGGCTTGTCTTTAAGTTTTATACTCACCCTTGTAGAAAACTTATTCGCTTCATCACAACCTACGCGGTCCACCTGAGGCAGCACCGGTTCCCGGGCCAGAGTTTGCGTAGTCAGGCATGGGACCGGCACCACCACGCTGCGGCGCCGTCTGGCCTTGCGGCCCCCCATAATCTCCCTGGAAGCCAGCATTATTCCGGCCCACGCCCACGCCTCCGTGACTCGTGGGAGCAGGGCCGGTCTGGGATTGATATGCATCTTGGTACTGCTCTTGCGGCATCGCGCCCCTTGTGCCCCCACCGGCTCCGGCATTCAGTCCCGGCGCACCTCCCGCGCCACTCGGGGCGTAGGTCCCCGTATTCGCTGTCCCTTCTCCATATTGCGTTCCAGCCGCACCACCAGGACCAGGAGCGGCTGACCCGTAGTCCGTGCCAACGCCCGGTGCGCCAGTTGGCCCCCTGTTGGCTGCTGCCCCATAGCCCGCGCCGGCGGCGGCGGTGTTTGATGTGTTGCCCGTCCCTCGAAGTGCTGCAAACCCTTTTTCGGTCTCCATTTGTCCCTGAGCGGCGACGGGGTGCGTGCTACCTGCGCCCGGGCCGTCCACGATACCAAGGAACCCGCCTCGGACTTTCTCTCCCATGCCTATTCCTAGTTAATGAATTCCTTGGTCATGAATGGGTTGACTAACCATGAATTACTTGCGCGGTGCCCCTACAATGCGGTTGTTAGAGTTGACCAGGTCTAGAATTAACTCCGTATACTGTACTTGATGGTCTGCCCGATGGACGCTGAGCCTCCACCGCCGGTCGTTCCAGTGCCCGTGGTATTCGAAGTCATGATTCTTGAAGCAGTAAAAATTAGCGAAGAGATGGAAGCAATGCGTTTGGTGCGGAAATGTGTTCGCTTGGACTGGTCTTGATATTGGGTCGACAGGCTCCACCCAAGACTCCACTGTGGGGTAAGGACCCACAAGAAGGTTAGGGGTATGACAAGGGTGACGGTGTTTTCGTCGATCGAACCGGTTCGACTTGCTCTTACGCCTGCTAGCTCTTCCGCTGGGGTTGCTACATGCGTGACGGAATGAATGGTTCAGTGTCTCACCATCACTGCCTGCCGAATCACGATAACGTTCCTGAACCTGGTCCTAGGCGAATATTCAATCTCCAGCTTCGACGAGATGTATCAATTAATCTCGCGCATATACGACATCAGTCGAACAAGCTCTACGGTAGCGCGCGCGGCGTGCGACGATGGCGTATGCTAAAAGCATGGGAATGTCGCCATGCATCAGAATGGCGAATTATAGCGTTCGATTATTTCTTATCTGCGCGAAGGCTGCGGCTGCTATCAGCTTGCGTGGCCATGGGGACACAATCTCAAAATACTCGCAAGATAAAGGCAGACGCAATTGCATGCTGAGCACTGAGTGTCCAGCTCCTCTCGCATTCCTGCACATCTGTGAGTGTCTTGTCTAGGCGATGAGCTGTGCATCTGGTGCGCACCCGATGATCACACTGCATGCCCTTCCTTTCTACACGAGCCGTGCATCGTTCCAGCTCTTTGCAGTGCTCCCGCATACGTCCTGCGGGCTACACACTCATATCTTGTGGCAGTCTCTCCAGTTGGATTGACGTCGTTTGCTGAGTCGTGGCGACCGCAAGGACTGGTGCGGGTGTACTGTCAAAACGTGCTGCGTGATATCATATACTCCGCGGCAAACATTGGAGAAAACCTTTCTAAGACTACTCACGCCTCCATCAGTGCTGTGTCCTACCCTTTTCTAAAACAGTGCACGCAGAGAAACTCTCGATGCAGGTCTTTATAATGACTTGTTCTATATGTCAGCACTGCATATTCGTAGTATATCTAATAACCACAAGGGCATACCGGCTTATTTTCCTTTAATCGCACTCATTCGTAAAAACGTGTTGTCTTCGTCTACCTTCATGAACGATAACGGGGATCTAGTGACGGTGATCTCAATGGCATTCATTCTGAGAAATTGTAGTTCCGATGGGGATGCAGTCGCCAGTGCGGCAGCAATGCACTCCATAAGTTGAACACGGCACCAAGGTAGCCTTCTTGCGCGAGTCAGTGGCGGGTGGCGGAGCCAGGACCGCTGAGTCAGATTTAAGTCGGAGAGTGAACATTTGAGCGCGCGACCTCGGACTCTACGAACTCTCGCCTTGCCCGCCGTCTTCATACCGCCATCCTCAAGACCATCAACAACGATGGTAAGCAAACTTTCAGCTGGGATGCACTGTATCATGCACTCGGAGGTCTTTGGAGATGGAGATTCTGGTTAGATCTGCGAGCATACTATGGATGGTACGTATCGCTGTTGGATGACGCTTGCAGTCCAAGGCTAACATGCAGGTGCAGCTCCCAACCAGAAATATCCATCTTTCAGCGAACGGACAATTGTCCGTGCTTCTTGCTGAGCCCTATCCTGGGCAATGACGCTACAGACGAAGCTATGCTGGGCCTGCGCTTCACTACCTCTGGTGGATGAGCGCAGGCACTAGAGCTCCGGGTGCATCACTACAGCGTTCTGCTTTGTGCAGTTCTGCCGTATAACTGATGTCTCCCGTCTCAATGACCAGCCCCCCAAGGTCACAAAAGGCAAGAAGCCCGCCCCCGCTCCCTACGGCGCCAGTAAGGGCACCAAGACTCAGAAGAACCCCCTCTTTGAGTCTCGCCCCAAGAACTTTGGTATCGGTATGTGCATCTGCTGATTTTGTATTGGCTAGTAATGACCATGTGGATAGGTCAGGACATCCAGCACAAGACCGATCTCACGCGTTTCGTCAAGTGGCCTGAGTATGTTCGCCTTCAGCGCCAAAAGGTCATTTTGAACCAGCGCCTGAAGGTTCCTCCGGCCATTGCGCAATTCACCCACACTCTCGACAAGAACACCGCCACCCAGCTTTTCAAGTTGTTGAACAAGTGGGTTCAGTGATACTCCTCAGTTGTGCAGCTGTTGAATTCCGTGCAGATACCGCCCTGAGACCAAGCAGGAGAAGAAGGCTCGTCTCGAGGCCACTGCGGCAGCTACTGCGGAGGGCAAGGAGGCCCAACCCAAGGACACTAAGAAGCCGTTGTTTGTGAAATACGGTCTCAACCACTGTGTCGCTCTCATTGAGGCCAAGAAGGCGTCGCTGGTTGTGATCGCTCACGACGTTGACCCCATCGAGCTCGTCGTCTTCATCCCTGCCCTCTGCCGGAAAATGGGCGTCCCCTACGTCATTGTGAAGGGCAAGGCTCGTCTCGGTACGGTCGTGCACAAGAAGACAGCCGCTATCCTCACCCTCCAGGACGTCAAGAGTGAAGACCAGCGCGAGTTGGCCACGCTCGTCAGCGCCGCGAAGGCTAACTTGTGAGTGGTATATATGTTATTTTTGGAGACGTGACGCTGACGGAGTGCCGTTCAGCTCCGACAAGTACGAGGAGCAACGCCGCCAGTGGGGCGGAGGTGTCCGTGGAAACAAGTCTGCTCAAATGATGCGCAAGCGTGCAAAGGCCGCGGGCCAGACTCTTTCTGCTGCGAATGCTACCAAGCTTTAAATGCTAGGTTTTTCATTGTCAGCGGAGTCATTGGTCATGATTATGAAGGGAGCTGGCTCAAAAGACGATGCGATTCGTCCTGCTGTCGGGCACATTACCACATGTTGTATGCTGTATATGCCATGCTATGGAGATATCTCCTGGTGCTTGTTCACTGTGAATGTCGGCTTCTTCATGTTTCGGTATATTGCACGGATGGAAATGGAAGTGTTGAAGAATTCTGCTTTTCTCCCTTTTGGTTGGCCCTGCAGGGGCTCTTGCCATCATCGCGATCGAAAGCAAAAGGCACTACACTGGAGGGCATGGTCTCTCGAAACGAGCTACTCACGTTAGGGCTAGTGCACCCCTGGCCCTCGGTGCCCCGCCTGACCCATTGAGATTGGGGCAGAAAATTGAAAAGGAACACTGGGGGGGAGAGGCGAGAGGTAAGATTCTAAAACGGGCCCATAGGCGGCCGGTGCGAAACAGGTACTTAGCCCTAGGCGGTACTACGTAGAGGAAGAAACGGGTATGCCCAAAGCAGTGTCAGCCCCGAATACCGTTCGGCGTTTGGAATCAGCACTGGCTCGGACGCAAGCCCGGACGCAAGCACACGCGCGGATCGCTGCCGGGTGGGATGAGAAGGTGCGGAAGCAGCGTGCTTCATGTCTGAGGCCGCGGCTCCGCTGGGTCCTGCACAATGTGAATAAGGCATTTGTGTGTTTCGGATTTGCTTGCCTGCAATGCACGTCTCAGTTCCAAGCCCACGCTGCTTAGTCGCGCATATCCATGATAGAATTCAAACCGAGGGTAAGAACCATACACGGGGGAAGCTTTCGTCACAGATCCCTGCCGAACACACAGTAACCAGTGCCCTTGGCATGCGAACCTCGCCCAATCTCCCGACGCCTCACAGCTCCTTCAGAGACTCGATCATCCCAGCCAAGTTCCCCTGGTTCCACTGCCCACCCCAACCCATCCTGCGCTCGATGCGCCGTGCGCGGAGCGTCGTGCGCGACGCGCGTTTGGTGTTCACAGGCGGGTCCCCCGTGCCCTCGGCGCGCTGCAGCACCAGGAGGGAGTCGCGCGGGCGGAAGGAGCTGCGCACCCAGTAGGGCACGCGGGGCGAGCGCACGTCTGGAAGCGAGGGCGACATGGGCGGCGACGGGAGCGGCCCCGTGGGCGCGGGGAACGGCGCGACGCCAAAGTCGAGCGGGCGCGTGCCGAAGCGTGTGCGGAACGCGGCCATGAGCACCGCGTCTGTGCCGATGATGCTCTGCTTCGCGCGCGAGACGGACCGCGCCCGCTGCCTGCCTGGACTCATTGGCGACTTGGGCCAGATGGGAGGAGGCGACGGGACGAGCGCGGCCGCGTCCGATTCGGCGGAGGCCTGCGAGTAGACGGAGGGGGAGCCCACCCGGGCATCGCCGCTGACATCGCAGTGCAGCGAAGCGGCAGTGGGCGGGGGCGCCATCACGCCAGGCGAGTGCAGCTGACGGCTGAGGCGTGGCTCGTGCGGGATAGCAAAACGAGGACTACGGATCTCGAGCACGTCTGCAAAGCTGTGGAAGTCCCCGACAGAGCGGCTGCGGCGTTTGGGCATCAGCGTTGTCCGGCTCATACGTCTGCTTTCGCGCTGCACGGGTCGGGACATGATCTTGGCGCCAGAGCTGCCATCTTCAGTGCGGAACGCCGAACGCGTTTGGTGGGCATCGCCGTCGTCCTCTGCGCGCATCTTGTACAGGTCCAGGAAGGTCGTGACTTTTTCTGCCTTCTCCTCGACTTGACCGAAGGAGGGGTAGATCAGCTCCCGCGGGAGCCCCACAGACGCACACTGCGCAAGCTGCTCAAGCTTCTGCAGTTTCTGTACCTTAGCTCGCTCCAGCTTATCCGTCGTAATGGGCGAAAACGGCGAGAGCGGGGAAAGAGGCGACAGGGACGGGGTATGCGGCATGCTGTGAGGATGGCTGCGTTGGTGATAGTGATGGACACGAACAACAACTCAACTCACCTCATATTCAGGGTGCCAAAACGGAACGGAGACAGAGGCAACGCTTCAGTACGTTGTGTCTGACCCAAGGGTAACGCAGCAGGAATGTTCTTGCGACGAAGTGTCCTATCTGTGGGCCTCATCGGGCGAGGGCGAGCGGGCTGGTCATTCTTTCCGGCAAAACGGGTAGCAGCGCCGATTGTGAAGTGCACGACGGGCGATTTGGGCGTACGTTCGTGAGCAGTCACGCCGGACACCACAGTGTTGACAAATGCGATTGGAGAGTGCTGTGCGATCGCAGATCGAATGCCTGCTGATGTTGGGGGAGCAAACGAGGTGGTTGTGGGCGATACAATGTCTATGACGGGCGCCGCACCCAAGACGCGACCGACTTTCTGGCCTGACCTGATGAGCCTGACGCGCTGCTCGGGTTCGAGTTTGAGGAGAGCAGGTGAGAGAGGCGTCGCATTACGACTGAGGGAACCGGCGGTTCTGTTCAGCATCGCTGTCAACGTGAAAATCGTAAGGGGACGTGAAATATGGGCAGCGAAAGCGGACGAAAGCGCGAAAACAAAGACAGTGGGCCAGCCACTGGGAGAATTAAGGAGGAAAGGCGATAGGATACCTGGTCGTCGATCAAGACGAGGCAAGGCAGACGAAGGGCAGGCGCTGACTTATATATACCGGTGTTTGGCCGTGCGCTCGCTTTGGACTCGGATTGCATCGCATTCATCGTCTTGCCAATCGCAACTCCGGGCACCATCAGTACATCGGCTGATGTAAGCGCCGCATTGCAGGGCACGCCGCATCTCCCTCTGCCGACCCGCCCGCTGCCAGACCGGGAACATGCAGAGGAGAGCAGAGAGCAGACATCTGGTGGCCAGCGGTGGAAGCGACCCAGGAGGAGTGGTAGATCGACTATCTGAGCTCGTCTTCTGGCTAGTGGCGGCGTTGTGTCCACACGTGACTCTGGCGGTCGACCTTGCCGCATAGCC